ATCTATCTATCTATCCATCTATCTATCTGCAAGCTTGAAAACGAAGCTATTCTGCCAGGCTTCCTCAATTTCTGAACTTGATAGCGCCAAAAACGAAACAGTTCTGGGAGACTTCCTCAATTTTCGAAGTTGACAACATTAAAAACGAAGCAATTCTGCGAGGCTTCCTTCAAAAATAGAAAGTTGAGTGCAGAGTAAGCTGACGGCCTCGTACCAATGCGTTTTGCGATTTTTCCACTCCACCTGCCGAAATTACTGCGCTTGCCACAAAAAATGGTGCCAGGTCATACGAAGTGCTGCACCGGCCACGCAAAATCATCTCCCCAAAACTGAAGATCTGATGCTCCAAAATGCAACCCTTCTCAGGAAATCAGCGCCCCGACCTCCTAACATCTCTGATGAAAATGTCTGTTGTCCTGCGCCTGCCACGCGAAATGCATCTTCGCAGATCCTCTGCAAATGTCCCACGCCTGCCATCGTTTTTGGAAATGCTACAAAATCCTCACGTTTGCTCACTTTTGGCAAGGTGCAGAATCTCTTGCGCCTGCCATGCAAAACCACATCTGAACCTTCAAGCGACATCACAGCTTCCAAAAGTGTGTTTTGTGCATTTTGACTTGGAAATGTGCTTCGCGCCACAACGGCGTGCAACTTTTCATCTCTCATCTGGCCACATGGCTCCGCACCCGCCGCTTTAGCGAGCCTACTTTTCGACCCTCGGGAGCCGCGAACCATTGGAGAAACACAGTGTTTCGCGACTTTGCTACCTTTTCGCACACCTGCATCTTCTGTCTTCTTACTGACTCTTTCTCTTCCCTGATCTTCTTTCTTCTTTTCTTCCCTTGCCTGGCTCTTCCCACTTCTGCTTTTCCATCTGTCCATATTGTCGGAAGTTTGACTTCTAAACTTCCTTCGGTCGTATACTGCATATACATATATATATATACATATATATATATACATATATATATATATACATATTTATGTATATACATATATATACATATATATACACATATATATACATATTTATGTATATACATATATATACATATATATACACATATATATACATATATGTATATATATATATGTATGTATCTGTATATGTGTATATACATGTATATACGATTGTATACGTATTATTTGCTTTGTGCTGAAGTGTTGCATATTTTAACATGCTTTCAATATATATATATATGAGTTAATATTTTTTTTGGGATTCTTGGGGCATGGTTTGGGAGCCCTTGCAGCCGATCCACTCCATGCCAAACGTTGAAGGATAGCAAAGACAAAGGCAAGGAGAAGAAGAAGGACACGATGGGAGGTCCTGCTGTGCCCAATTGCCTGCCCAGTGACTTGGGTTGTGGGCTGCTAGAAATACCAGGAGCACAGGCTGTCACAGGCTTCCCTGTTCCAGGGTCAATTTCCCTGGCAACTTGAAGAATGTTGCTCTACTCCCTCTATTCCAAATGTACAGTGAACTCTTGTCATGTTTTGCCCACAGATTCTACAACAGTTTTTCACAAAGAGTTTTGCAGATGTATTTTCCCGACCAACGACAACCCACAATTGTCCTTCCCAAATGTCAAACAAAGTGAGTGACCATGCCCATGTCGAAACAGAGGACAAAGAGAAGAAAGGAAAGGAAGAAAAAGAAGAAGTGACTTTGAAATTACCAAAACCTACAGATGATGCTAGAGCCAAGTGGTGCCTCGCTCAATCATAAAACAGAATGCGGCACGAATGGATCGTTTAAACATCATCAAACACACACATTTCCAAACGAATGCGATCATCATCGTGCTGTTTGTGCTGTTTGTGCTGAGGATTGTTCACTGCAATCGCAATGTCTTGAAGGACTCCATGGTCAGTTCCGCAAGCTTCGAGGAGTGCAGCATCAAGACGTATGCTATGCGACCAGCGCTGGAATGGGCGCTCATCAATTTGCACGGAGATTCATCTTTGGAATCTTGCGCTGGCAAGTGGTGTTTTTGATGGTGTCCACTTGGATGTCCAGACCACGACTTGGACCTTTCAGATCTTTCGGATGTTTCGGGAGGCTGCACTAACAGCTGGACACCTTAAATCAAAGCTACGCCGCATTGCGCCAAGGAAGATATGTTTATGCTCCTCTACAGGCTCTTCACCGGTGCCCTGGACATGAAACTTGATCAACTTGATCAACTTGAAACCAGGATTGTTGACCAATGTTGACCACATTTGTGAAGAGCTTGAAGCATGGCTGAACTTTCCCTCGGCTGTTTTTCTGTGGGAAATTGAGGCCATACAAAATTGAAGCTTGGACCTCCTGGAACTGCAGAGGCGACATATGGCACCGGTGCTAAGATCAACTGAGTAACTGTTGACTGAAGGATAGTAAAAGTCATTTCTGCACAAGAGTCAAAGATGATCAAAGTTGTTGTTTAACCAGTTTAACAGCTCCCTCTTCCATGTGGTTGAAACGTAGAGTATCCCATCTAGGACATGTCATAAGATCTGAACCTAGCGACCCCATGAGACAAGTTCTGTTTGAAAAGAGAACTGCAACACCCTGGATCCAATTTAACGTATAGGTCTCGGAAAACCTCGCCACAAATGGTTGACAACAACGTATGCAGATGCCTATTTGGCAGTGAATCAACCAAACCCAGCTTGTCAACAATTTATCTCTCAAGAAAATCGAGCTTTCTCCTGATTCATCATTGACACAATCATCACTGAAATGGTTTTGATCCTGCCCTGCCAAAGTATTCACCGTTTGATTACTGTAGTGTTCTTTCATTTGCTCCTTTTTGAAAAGAAGGTCCAATTCTGTTGCTGCAACTCAATGCTCTGACAGTGCGCTGCAAGGATTTAGATATTGTAGTTTCCATGTTCGCTAGAGGCACAGGGGTCGCATGTGCCCCTCATAGGTATGCTGTTTTCTCTGGCAGGTGCACTGGTGTCAGAAGTTAGAAGGATTGTTTTCCAGCTTCCAATGTTTTCGCACGAAAGAGATGTTGTCAAGCTTCCGAAGTCCATTTTCGGACGACGTCTCGCACATAAGATATGTTTGCAAGCTTCCAACCTCCATGCTTGGACCAAGCCTTTTAGTCAAGATATCTTTTGAAGCTCCCGTCTTCCATTCTTGGAGGAACTCTTGCACGAAACAAATGCTTTGAAGCTTCCAATTTCCACTCTTGGAGGAAGTCTCGCACGAAAGGTCCGCGCTTACACAGTGGGTATCTCAATGTGCTTTGTCTCCAAAGTAGAAACCAAGTCGTGTTCCCTAGACCCCGGTCAGTCCCGCCAACACCTTGTCCCCAGGTTAAACCCCAAAAAAGGCCATGCCATGTTTGATGTTGTGGTGGGATATGTCGGGTAGCGCCCTGCCGACCTGAAACCCACGTCCCTTCGGTCCCTTCGATCCCTTCGGTGCGCCGAAAACTGGATCCAGCGAGATCCAGCACCGATGGTCTAAAGAAGCCATAGATTACAGCAGAGATTATATATATATGATATATGATATATGATATATATATATATAGGGGAGAGGCTGGGGGTTCCCCGGAAGACGTAGGAACCTTCAGTCTCTCTCTGATAGATATATATAATGATATATGCATATTTTGTCGTTCTTGCATACAGATGGGGGGTGGTGGGGGGGGATGTTGCGTTCATTGCATTGCGTCATAAGAAGATGTTGTTGCGTTTGAAGATCGGTGTTACATACAGTGGGTGGGGTGGGGTGGGGGGTGGGGGGATTGGGGTGGGGTGGGGGGGGGGGATGTTAACGTTCATTGCATTGCGTCACCAGAAGATGTTGTTGCGTTGAAGATCGGTGTTGCATACAGATGGGGGAGGGGGATGTTAACGTTCATTGCATTGCGTCGTACGAAGATGTTGGTACGTTGAAGACGTTGTTACGTTCAAGATGTTGCTACGTTGAAGATGCGGTTACGTTGAAGATGTTGGAACGTTGAAGATGTTGTTACGTTGACGATGTTGGTACGTTCAAGATGTTGTTACGTTGAAGATGTTGTTACAGTATCCAAGATGTTGTTACGTTGAAGATGTTGTTACGTTGAAGATGTTGTTACGTTGAAGATGTTTTTACGGTGAAGATGTTGTTACGTTGAAGATGTTGTTGCGTTCAAGATGTTGTGACGTTGTTACCTTGAAGAGAAAAAAGGCCCATGTGCATTTCGCCCATGGTTCTCTGGTGGATTATGACATTTTTATGTCTATCAAAAAAACCTGAAATTCCAAAAAGCAAGCAATTCCTATGGGGAAAACAAAAATGATATAAATTGATGAACTTGAAAAAAAACAAAAAACATTGAAACACTGCATGTTGAACTAATTCCTGATATTCTCACGTTATAGGAAGAACACAAAACACCAATTGCCTTCCAGGGAACGCCCAGCCTCTACCCTATTATATATATATATATCTTTATATTGTGTTTCCACTGACTTTCTGTCACCTAGCCCGCCTCTGGATAACAACAGCGATGTGAGGAGGACACCCGACGCTGGGCTCACACCTTTGCCACTTTGGTGGCCTACCTGAAGTCAGTGGCCCAGCGTGCCCTCATTATGTGCAATCTGATGCAGATGTATCAATATTTTTCAACGTTTTTCGGGGGACTTCAGCCACCAACCAGAAACCAAGTGGATCAATGACAAGAAGACCTAATGATGAAATCATGGCCAACGTGGTCTAATTTTCAAGCATGTGCTGCAATAGACATCAAAGCATTGCAGGAACAAGCCAACAAAGAACATGTGCGTTCGTTGAGATTACAAGAGGTATGTTCAAAATATTTCAACATATTTCAAGATGTTCAAGTGTTTTGTTCAAGGCCAGAGACCATGGAGCATGGTTTCCTGGTGGGGTGCCACAGGGGACCCTGGACAACAGGGATCCCAGGTGAGGAACGGGTTTCATACCAAGTTTTGAAGATCTTCAAAGATGTGAGTGAACCCAGTTGAAACTTCCGTGAACTCTCAACTGCTTTCCAACTAAGTGTAACTAAGGCAAGTTTCATCAACGTTTTCGCCCACAACTTCGACGAACTTTGGACGAGCGATGGACAATCCGCCCTACCAAAGCCACCCGGAAACGAGCTTGGAAGGAGCGTAGACCGAAGTTGGCTAACTTGGTGTCCAGGCTGTTGAGTTTCACCCTCGACTTCCGCCCTTTGGTGTGACTGGTTTTTTGGTATTACAACGTATCGGTGTCGGATCAGGAGCCAATCCCGGGAACTGGTGCATGAACGCTTCCTGACTGAGCTTCGGAGTTGGATCTTGGACCACAAGGACGCTCTGGCAAAGCCCTTCTCCATCCTTCTCCTAGTAACCCTAGTATTTTTCACATTTTTTCACCACGTGCAACTCTAAGTTCACGTGTGTGTAAGTCGACCAAGCTATTTTCTTTCAGGTTTCATGCCAACTGTCACGGGGTTCAGATGGATTCAGCATATTGAGCCAGCGCAGGAACGCCTTGTTTGGCCTTCTGGGGGTGATGAGGACTGGAGCGAAGTTGGGGCGATATCAAGGATTCGACAAAGTAAAGGGTTGGAAGGAAAACTGGACAACCATCTCATGCGATCTACTTGTACCGCAGTTTCCTTTTGGCTCATTGAAGAATGGAGAGGTTATGAGAGGATAGTGCAGCATCCGAAGATGAGATTAACGACCGAGAACAAGTTTTATTGATCCAAACTGTCCTGACTGACGATGTCTGCTGCTGCGATGCCGCAAACTGTTGAGACAGACACCTTTGAAGCATCGCTTGGTTATAGTTGGTTCAGGATGATGAAGGTGGTGGAGACAATGAGGAAGAAGATGAAGAGGACGAAAATGCAGATGAAGAGGCACATGAACACGGAGTCACGGCACGACATCGAAGAGGTCCAAAAAGGATCAAAAAGGTGAGGGATCCAAGAACATTAATAATTAGATATATTAATTAAAAAATATGAAGAATCTTAGATGAATTCAAAACTTGTGATATTTAGTGATTTTGACCTCATCCTCAGTTCTCGGAATCCAACCGAGTTTTTTCATGACAAGCTGTAGTTCTGTGCCACGTTGTTTCGCGTGTGCACTAAATTTCAGGCAGAAGAAGAAGAAGCTGAAGAAGGCGACAAGGCAATGGCATGGTCAGATCTTTTTGGCGTCCAACTGTTGGAAAAGATCCTCTGGATATCTCTGGATCATTTGATTCTGATTCGAATTCCTGCTGTACATGGCTCAGAAATCTTGCACTTTGGATGTGCAACATGACATGCCCAATGATACCAATGATACCAATGATACCAATGATACCAATGATACCAATGATACCATTGATACCCACCTTCCGATCATCATCCCAATTGGTGCTGGCTTCTTCTATGCTTTCACAAATCATTCCCGGCACTGCAGGAGAAAGAGGGGGAGGACGGCGAAGAAGGATCGGTGTAGAGATGATTCATGGAATGACACGACGTGGGCGACATATGGCGAGATGTGTGTCTGAACATGGTGGATGCTTCAAAATTTCAATCTTCTTGGGGAAAATGAATGAACAGCCAATATTTAGCATGATCAGCCATGAAATTTTGGGGGTTATCATATTTTCAGACAAAGCCATTTTCACAGCACCAGCTGCAACATGTATCATCTGATTGCGCTCATCCGGTACTCCGGTACCAAAAAAAACCACCCAGTTGCCATTCGAAATCGGTGCCGAATCAACGAATCGAAGTGCCAAAAAGGCGACGAGGAAGAAAGCACCGAGACCTTCAAGACCAAGGCGCGTTTCGGCGCAGCACGATGGATGAGTTTGATGATTCCATTCAGAAGTGGACGGTGATCTTCGGTCATCTCTGCATGAAGCCCATGAAGATATGCTGAAGATATGATGAAGATGCATAGCTGCATAACTATCACTGCATAAAGCTTGGACGTATTCCAAAGATCCAATTTGAGGCTTGCGAAGCCTAGAGTCTGCCCTCTTTTACAGTGCTTCATGTGGCGGCTTCGCAACTGGCCCATCTCCAATCGCCTTGAACTGACCCTGGCAGCTTTTCGGCCCAAGATTCCATGGTGACTGGCGTCCTCACTGCCAATGGAGCTGCACTCAGTCGGACTTCACCGGACGAGACTGTACCGGACGCAAGAAAGTTGCCATGTCCAATCTGCGGCCCTGTGCGCCCAGGAGAGGGACCGTGGGAGTCCAGGCACCCTAGTCGCGGGCGATTTGCGCGAAGTGCATCGCGACGACTTTTGGGAACTGCATCGTAGACTTGGAGAGTCGCTGAGCTGAACAGATGTGCACAGCCTTGCACAGCTATATCAGTTGCTGCTTTGAGAATCAAAGCAGGCTCTAAGAGGGAAATATTGCCAAGATACCAAGATCACCTGCTGATCGCGGGCCTACTCACTGGGCATCTCTAGTTGCCAGGGAGCATGCGGCCAGATCCCTCATGTCGGGGTTGAGATAGAACAACCGTGCTGGAATCTTGACAACTCCTGAAATTACCATCTGGTTATTTAACATAGCCATGGTATACCTATTATAAATATTATGGTTTACCTATTATAAATGGTGATTTTCCATGGCTATGTTAAATAACCAGATGGTATTTTCTTTTTTACATTTTTTTGGTAGATGATGCTGGCCACTCGGACATTGCTACTTTTTTTTTAATGTTTAAATCCCAATGCTGCACAGGTGCTATGAAGCAGATATGATAAGCGTGAGCCGCAGCGCTGCCAGGTACGATAGGGGTTGGCATTCATAGCATATTAAAAGTACCTGATTGTATCCGTACCTGTGACTGACTCCCATGAAACCAGGTGAACACTGGGAAGAACAAACCAGGAAAAAACACGGGTGAACGTTGAAGGATGTGAAGTCTGAATGGAGATTTTTGAAGCCTGGTTTCAGTTTCTTTCACCAACCACATATAGATATGTGTACATATGTTGGACCAGATCAATGATGTTTACCCAATTGGTAATCACCGACCGGCCAGTTGGAACAGATTTGAAGCCAAGTTTGAGAGTTCCAACTTCAGCAGCTCTCCAAAATTGACGGAAACGCATGGAAAAGCGGTGACATATGAATTGACTTGCGCAGAAGCTTGCGCAGAAGCTTCATGTGTTTTTCAATTTCAGCTTCCCACGAAAAAATGGGTAGGTTGAAATCCATTGAAATCCAATGAAATCCCCCAAAAATGCAGGTGTTGAGCTCAGCCAAGTTCGATTTGTGCTCCCTTTTTTCGGTCCCCATGTATCGACCTTTGATCGACTCGCCATGCCACGAACGACTCGCCATGTGTCAGGGTGCCTGCAACGCCTGCAACGCCTGCAACGCCTGCATCACCACGACAGGGAACCTTGGCAGAGTTGACAGTTCCGAACTGCCATGAGACACAGACACAAAAACACAGAAACACACACACACACATCAACCACAAAGTACTCAAAACACGACACAAAAGCACAATTTACGCGCGCGCACACACACACACACCACAGGAAATGAAAGAACAAAAACACACAGCAACGCAATCAGCACAAACAACACAAACAACACAAACAATAGACACAAGCACAAATGCACAAAAGAACAAACAACCAAAGAACACATGCGCACAAAAAAACACGAACACAAACACACACACAAACAACAGCACAAAAGGGAAAGAAAAGAAAAAACACGCGCACACACACACACACAGGGAACACACACACACACACACGCGCAAACACAAAAATCTACAAACGTCCGAAACGCAAAAACGCAAACAACACAATCAACATAAACGCACAAACTCAAAATGTAAAAAGCACAAGACACACAATAGCACACATGCAAAACACAGAACCCTCAAACGCAAATACGCACAACCAGAAACACAAGCACAAAACAAACAAAGGCAAACAGAAGAACACAAAACATTTGAACAACACAAACCACACAAACACAAAATGACACAAACACAACAGTGCACAAACACATTCGTGCATTCGGGCCGTTCTCATTCCCATGTCACACACACATGCGCAAACATATACACATGTGAATGGTAGAGAACCCTACCCAGGGCTCCACACACAGCGGCTCCTCTTTGTCTTTGAGCACGAAGGGTCCGCTACGTTCCAAGCGATGTGACACCCTGCTGGAAAGACTGGATTTACACTCCCTAAAAATCAAACAACCAAAAAAACAAACAACAAAACCAACACCAACAAAAAGACAAAAACAACACAACAAAAAAAAGGAACACACCGGTTCCTACCAGTCACGTCATCAGCAGGCCAAAACTTTCATACAGGTGCATGACCAGTAAATCCTCATGCAAATTTGCGGACTTCGCCGCCAGGGTAAAATGCCTCTCCACGCTCAAACCCTATGGCACGGAGATATGCTGCCAAATCCAATGTGCGGTCAGAGGGACCACTGTACTTGAGGATCCATTTCAAATATTTCTTCATTTCGACATCCTCAGACGCCAAGGAAACAAGCTGGGCATAGGACTTCTTCATATGAACGACTTTGGGCAGTTCGCACAAGGTGGTCGACCAATGCGTCAGGTCTTTGATGCCTGACGGCAAGGAAACCTCAGCAGCCAACGATGATGCCCCGGGCAACACGGGCATTTGCTGAGGGACCTTCTTCTTGGGCTCCTCAGTCTCTTCCTCACCATGAATGTTCACAGGAATGAAATCGTCACTGAACACTGACTCCTCATCCAAGCGACGCTTGGATGAATCGTTCATGGACCCTCCATGTCCTCCATGAATGTCAGGCACGGGGATGTGAGAAAGCAGGTACTGGAGCTGTCCACTCTGCTGCAACTGCTGCAGAAACTCCAGTGCTTTGATCTGCTCGCCGGACATCTTGGAACTCGACATGGATCACTTGAATTGGAAACACAGGCACTTACAGAGGAATCACTTGGCACCTTTACGCAAACGTCACACTTGAACACGCGGGCTACGGAAGTCTCAAGACTCATGGGATTGTGATCGCATGCAGGCAAGTTCAAAACCGATAAACCCCACTACCACCTGTATAAAGCACTATACATGGGAGGCCTAACACAACTTACCATGTTATATACAAGTTGAATTCACGCTTCTCCTTTGCTGACTTTGTTGGAGCTTCTGTTGGCGACATTCTGCTTCATGTTTTTCCTGCAAGACACGACGCTGGTCTCTGAACTGGCGATGTCGTTTCTTCCATTCCAAAACCATGGCCTCTGGATTGAGCTGGTATTCACCTATCTCTAGGGCTGCTCTAATCAGGTCTGCAGGTTCCATCTTATCTTTCGTAAAAGCATCAGCAAGCATGAGTTCAGTTGGACACCAGCGCACTACCATTCCAGTTCGAGCCATGCATTGTTTGAGAATCGCTATGTCAATCGCAACACGTTTGTCATCACACTTTGAAGCAGCTGACAACGACTCCAGGTGATCAAACAAACTTTTGCAATCCGTAATTCCAGTTATGGCGACTGACAACTTTCTCTGACGACTTTCAAAATGCGTCAGAGGAATCTGTGCAAAGTCTCGCAGGTCGAACTGACCCTCCTTGGCTTCCGTAGTCATCAAGGCCATCCATTCTGCCAAGGCACTTGCTGTTGAAAAACTCTGCGACTCCCCAGACAAGGTTGAACTGACAACACGTGGCAATCTATATGACTTCCAACAAAAAGGGGACCACGTAGTAGGATTATTCTCACCTAGTTTGGAGTTCACAAAGGCTAACACATAGCCACCTTGAGTCGCATGAGCTTTGGCGTTGGCGAAGGCAGCATCTGAGTGGAAACATATTCCAAGCTCATCCCATGGGATGTAGCGCACACGAACAGAGACATCACTATGCTGTTTCGCTCTATGTACCAATTGGTTGGCAAACATCAAGTCTTTGACCTTTGGTTTCGGAAAACACTGCTGGCTGAACGAAGTTTGCACACAAAGATCTGGACGACTCTGACTCGATAACCAATTGGCAGCACCATTGATGGCACGCAGAGCAGCTACTTCACGATCAGAGGCTAGTGACTCTTTGTTCCTCTGACGCTCCTTTGACATTGAGATGGGCCTCAAATGTTCGGCATATTCTTTCTGACTGTAGGTGATTTCCAAGGAATCGGGGTCTTGATGATATTGAACACCACAAAATTCTCCAGATCCTACACGCCATTTTCTGTAAGGAAACCGTTTTTTCAAGGTCTCAATGGCCTGTTGATATTCTTCACCTTCACCTCCAGTGATAGTATCATCCACATGTGCTCCTAGAACCCCAGTGAGTTGATTGGATGAATCTCTGAAGAAATACAAACAGTTGTCAAACTGTGATCTGAAAAACCCAGTGGTAAGTGCTTCTTGGTTGAAGGTGTGATACCAGTTGAACGGTGCATCATTGGAACCATAAACATTGCCAGTCACCTCCAAGACATCCTCGGGGTCAATGTTTGGTATGCCACCCTGTGGTTGCTTTGCAAACAACGGTCGAAACTTTGGATTGAGAGGACCAGCTTCCAAAAAGGCTCCTTTGATATCACCCAAACATAGTATCCACTTTTTTGACACCAAAATTTGTAAAACCAACGCTCGGGCCAACTGACTCATGGTGGGACTGTGACACATGCCTGAAGTGATCTTCGTCTGAAAATCAGGGTCACTGTGACCTTGAAGACACAACCGAGCCTTCACTCTGCGGCCATCTTCATCGTTTTTCTCGACGATCACAAAACGACTGCCGATGAAACGATCTGGATGATCTCTACGAAGTTGTGCTGCTTTCTTTCCGGTCCATACCTGGAAAGCCCCTTTTCCAATCAAAGTCTCCCACTCTGTGGACTTGGCAACATCTACTTCTTGCTGCAGTTCAACACTATTGCCACTGGCTGGAATTTCCTTTTGAAACTTCTTCTGCAAGAAATTGGCCATGTAACAGTTGTATGTGGGAATCTGTTTCTGATCAGAAACTTCAGGAGTGCACAACAAAGCATCATCACCATCTTGTTCGGTGTGCAGTCGAGGCCGACTAGTCGGGCTGGCATCTGGCATGTCACTTGCTTCCCGCTTGACTGGCTCACCTCTTGGACTTGTTTCATTTGCAGGCACTGACAACGAGTTGGCACCTAGATCATGCATCATTTCATGAAAGTCCTCAGGAAAAGATTCTACATGTCTCGACAACATCTGTGGAAGCTCGGATGTTGAGGCAGGACCACTAGACACAGGCCGCTGGTAAACCACTTCGGGGGCTTTATACCTATGTCTATATCTTATGGGCTGATACTGTGAATCTACTGCATCAGGAGTTGGTTCCGGAGATGAGTCAGCCATGCTCTGATCGGGCGGCACAGCGGCGGCTTGACTAAGTTCTCGTTCATGCACTTCTGCTGCCGTAAGTGCCCGTGGGGCCGATTCTTGCAGGGACTGCTGTACAACCTCAGGCTCTGGTGGATTGCCTTGAGGAACAAGGTCGGTGAATTGACTCTTCGGAAACTGACCACGCTCAAGCAAATTTCGAATGCCCAACAACTCATTTTCAGGGAATTCAGCTACCAGTTGTTCATCACCAGTTGCAAAACGTAATTGTTCTGGGGCACATCGAAATAAACTGCGCTTGTGAGCCACAACTAGGTTCCGACCAATTTTACCCAAAATGAGTGCTGCTCCATGCCATCGACCACCTCTTATGAGTTTACCATTTTCCCATTTCTGCGTTCTCCAGTAGTAAACCCAATCACCAGACTTGAACTCCTTGTGGGGTCTAGGCCTGGCATGAAGTGCCGCTCTCAGGGCTTTACTATCCTGAGCTTCCAACACTGATTTCCGGGCAGTCTGCCTGATTTCTTGTGATCGAGCCAGGGCAGAATCCATGACAATCGCATCTGAAGCGGCTACATCTGGCTCTTCCTGCAGTAAATCATGTGGAACTCTTGGATTGCGACCAAACACAAACTGATAAGGACTGGCACCTGACTGAGAAATCAAAGAATTCTTGGCAGTTTGGGTCTGAATCACACAATCGATCCACTCTTCATCGCAGGAAGGACGAACCTGATCACATACACGCTCGAAAATGTGTTGAAACCATTGGCCATGTCGCTCAACTTTACCGAGTTGAAAATGCGCCTCAGCTGCTGTACTCAACTGCTTGATACCCTGATCTTGACAGAAGGTTGCCATCACTTCACCTACGTTGGTCTTGTGGGGATCTGTTACCAAAAATTCAGGGACCCCGGCCCATGCTATCCAGTTGTCTCGCAACACACCTTTGACCACTTCCGAGGTCTCATGTTGAAAAATTGGAACAACCACTTGTAAGGAGGATGCGTAGTCCACTATGTTAACACATTGGACTGTCTTTCCAGGCTTCCAAGAAGGCAAGTACTTAACATCCAGACCAATCTGTGAGTTAAATTCCAACACTCTGGGCACGTTCGCAGGGAGAGCTGAGCTCGGCTGAGCATGATTGGCACACACGGAACATGTGAGATTTCGGGCTGCGCTGATGGCATCGGCTGATGCTCCTGCATGCTTAAGCATTCTGATTAAATCATCGCATGAAGGGTGACCTAAGTTTTTATGAAGCTTAAACACGGCTTGCTGAATTTTGGACGGAGGTTGTTCTTCTGCAGGAGGAACATCAGCATTGGCAGGCTCGACAATCTCTCCGGCCAAGCATTCTACACCCAGATCAACCAGTCTCATTTTTGGTGGAATGGCTACCTCACGAAGCCCTTCCAATGCAAACGCTTGCAACACAGACTGAACAAACTCAGGAGTGTACCTAGAGACAAATTGGCTTCTTCCCATGCCATTGGACAGTTGACCTGCTACCACTTGATGCTTGGCACAACCGGAGCACTGCTTCATGTGTTGGGCAACGGATGGACGAGAGCACATCAAACCAGTGCCTTTCTGAATAGGAAGTTGGCTGTCAGGACACTTCAAGTTGTACGCACACATGTCTATCCTAAAGATTCCAAACTTCCTACGCAAGTTCTCTAATCCCTCGTCATCCCATATGGCAGAACCCCACGGATGCTCCAACATGAAATCACCACCCCTACGCAACTGCTTTTGGATTTGGTCTATACAAAACTGCCTACGGATGCGGTTCTCACGAATGATCTGAGCAAGCTGCACTGGACTCCTAAAGCATCGATTGAGGTGATCCCAGCCCCCTTCATGAGTACACGGAGGAGACAACGTCAGAAGATCAGGCTTCAGTTCATCCAACTCTTGATCAACTTTGTCACGCACCCGCTTATTCAGCAGATCATAACCGGTCTTCAGATCGTATGCACGACCAGTCTTACCACAATCATTGAGACAAGCTGTGAACCGAGGAGGTGAAAACAATTCTGCAACCGTGATTTTTGATTGAACTTTCTTTTCATGCTGTTTGATTTGAGCTAGCAAACATCTACATTCTTTGGGTTTCAGAGTGACTTTAGTTTTGACCCGTCTGTCCTTGACATCAGCACGCGGAGATTCTGCAGCTGGTGAAGACGAGACTTTGCCAAACTCCATGAGATCGATCACAATCTGGCCAGCCGCATTGGTCTTGAGCTCTTGAGGAGGAAGGCCCAACAAATTGAGCTTCCCATTCTTGAAATCAATCTGAACCTGAAGACGTTCCAGGGTAGGTCGTCCCAAAAGCAAGGGGGCATGTCCAGCGATGATGGCTGCATCAATCACCCCAGACTTCCCAGCAATGCCCACCGGAATCTTACTTGCATTTGTAGCTCTTTCGACAGCTCCATTGCCAAACCGAAAGAGGTTGTCACATGCATACACTTCAGGAGATTGAAGACCTTTTTGTTTCAGCATTTGGCTCATCTTTTCCAACGTTTCAGCACCAATAAGAGTACGCCCACATCCACTGTCAATGATTCCCATCCCTGGGGAAGATTCCAGTCCAGAAGCTGCATGACCAACAAAAGTCTCGGCAGCCCCCACGAATTGCACATATCCCACAGCAGATGACGCACCTTCTTGATGACCTTGTCTGGAACCAGATGATCCGCCTGCTTTCGTCTCGTGACACTCACGAGCCCAGTGACCCACTTTGCCGCATTTCCGGCAACGTGTTCTGGCTTTCAACTCATTGATATCTGTTCGGAGGTTCTTGGCAGCACCGAACTTCCTGGCTTTGCTAACCCTAGAGATTTCTTGACGGCGCTCTTTCCAGGTGATCGCTAAGGCCTCAGCAGCTTCGCTTTCACTCAACTCTTGGGTCTCCTGAGGTTCAGAAGGCTGGGCTAAGTCGTGATCAGCCAAGAACGCTTCCACATCGTCAAAGGAGTCCTGAGCATAGCTTTCTGCAGCCTCCACCTCGACAGGCATGGCACCAATCGCTTTTCGCACCTTGTTCCCAGCAGCTTTGTATGTAGGAAAACAAGACCGAAAGGCCGCAGCTATCTCATCGTACTCCAACTTCCCTTGAGTCTTGGCCTTGATGATGGCCTTCTGTTCATCATTGAGACCGGCACAGTTCAGCGTCAACCAGCCACGTGCAGCACTAGGAAAATCAACCGAGGCTCTCCTAGCACAACGATCACACACATCCTTGACCCTGGCCGTCCACTGCTTTGCCGACTCTCCATCATTGGCGGAAAGTCCAAAGACTTCCCCAAGGGATTCCCCCATGAGATCCAGCGGTTCCTTCTCAGGAAATCTATCAGATAACAGCTTCCATAGGTCCTCATCACCTGTCTCCTTCATGAGATCAGTCAGCTTGAGGTGTTCACAACATTCCAAAGCTTTGCCATCCAACAGGGTGTAGATCCATGGACCTCGTTGGCTCTTTTGTAAATCTTTCATTGTAGCCATCTTTGCTGAGCACCACATCCGCCACTTACGCAGCTGCTTCCCAGCATCGTCGTCTTCACCATTGAAGCGCTTCAACGATTTCTCGTCTGAAGCCATCGCACATCCGCCGACCGAGGCAGAAACTGAGCCCTGGGTAGGGCTCCGCTACCAATGTGAATGGTAGAGAACCCTACCCAGGGCTCCACACACAGCGGCTCCTCTTTGTCTTTGAGCACGAAGGGTCCGCTACGTTCCAAGCGATGTGACACCCTGCTGGAAAGACTGGATTTACACACATACTCAAACGCGCAAACACACTTGATATGAAACTAACACACCAAGATCAAAAAGAACGTCAGGTACATTCATACACTTGTATCGAAGGGAAGTGAATTGAAAGGCAAGGTGCCTAATCATAGAAATCATATAATTCAAATTTAAATTAAGGTCCGTGATAATGTCATTCCCTTCCGAGTTAAAGTGTTGCTGCAGCATTTTTCATGGCCTGGGAACTGTCCCCTTCCCAACCCCACTCGTTTCGAACATGGACGCCACAATTATGGTTGAACATATGCAAAGATCGCCACTCAAGTTCCCGCAAGTCAATATTCATTGCAATACCCCAGTTTTGGGGCTGAATACATTGAATACATTGCAGGCATACCCGATCCAGACATATCCAGACTTTGCCAAAGGATTTCCCCAAAGCTGTGACCAAGCTGTGATCGGATCACTGAGGGACGCGACGAGACTCTTTCGAGTGTCTGGGACTAATAGATGGATAAATTATACCTTTATAGTGGATTTTCCCATTAAAAATGGTGATTTTCCATGGCTATGTTAAATTACCAGAGGGTAGATTAAATGACCCTAGAAATGGTTTCCAACAGTGACCTAGTTCAATTGACCCCATTAGTGTCACTAGATTGGTCTGGTTCAATTGCGTTTCAAACAGTGACCCCTAAAAATACCCCTAGTGGCTTCTCCAACATCGAACAAACATGTCGCACATGGCGATTTCTCCATCGGTTTTAAGCAGTCGTTGCGCCCATTTGCAAACGCACATTCTGCTTGCATCGAACTACTGCGTTTAATGATGTTTAATGATGTTTAATGGGTGTGTCTTATGAAGCCGGGCTTGGTGTGGCGTGACGAGTCGAGAACTCGGAGGATTTTGTATATCAACATATTTGTACATCAATAATTTTTTGTACATCATTGTAGTCACCGTACTTGTATATTTTTTTTGTATTTTTTGTACATCATTGTATATCAACATATTTGATCATTTTGTATATCAACATATTTGATCAACATCTTTGTGAGAAAAGCGAAGTCATGGACAAATTCAGAAGTTTGGTGAGCATCGTCGCTGACAGGGCATTCCTGGAACACCGCAAGCAGCGTGCTTGGCTCAGTCGTTTGGGTTAGGCATTGCTATTGGCCTCATTCTCGGAGCAATGTTGCTTCAAAGCTCTTACGGATAGAAATGCCGCTGGGGGCAGAATGCAAGTCCCCAATCTGAATTTTGTACTTGAACTAGACCCATGACGACAGATGATTATATTCTTTCCAAATCCTTTCCAGACATATGGAGGTTTCCTGAAATAGGGGTGCCCCCAAATCATCCATTTGAATGGATTTTTCCATCATACTTATACACCATCCAGCTATGGGGGTACCCCGATTTCAGGAAACCTCCATATAATGTTAAGCTCTGCCCAGGTGTGATGAGCGGTCATCGCGTGCTGAGTGGTTCTTTGCTGAAGCGGAAGCTTGGGCTTTTTTAGTTTTTGGACGAAAAAAAGATGCGTAGCGCACGAATCCAAACGACTGGGTGCACCAGTGGTGCAGTTGCCTAAGGACAAACCAAGAATCCGACGGCCACTGATCTGAAAAGGAGGGACCTGGGACGATGGACGTCGAAACTGTAGGAGTATGGCATCTTGCAGCAGGTAAGGTGTGAGCTAGGTTGTGGCTTGCAGTGCTGAAGTATCACCGTCTAGCAGATAAGAACGAATTAATAAATCCATGCGCACACACACACCTGTGTAGTACCAGTGTTTTCCTGTCTGCAAACGATGCTCTTGCCTTTTCGTATTTCATGTTGATGTCACAACTCGTAGCTGTATGAATTGTCACAAAAATAGCTTTCAGAACTCAGACCTTGCCATAAATGCTCCAAAAAAAATGAACAACTTAGCTGTCATAGTATATTGCTATATGGGTATGTATCAATACCTATTACCATTATTAGTGGGATGAACATCCATTTACCAGCTATTTTGATGTGAACTACAGGGGTACAAGGTTTTGACACACTGCCATCTATTGCCGTAAGTCATCATGACACGAGGTCACAAAAGCGGGAGGAGTTCTTCCATAGAGGAGACACCGAGCGGTGGCCTCGGGGCGTCCGGGGCGTGCCTTGGACGATTTGCCGGTGATGTTTGGAACGCAGATGATAGGAATGTAAATGAGCCATTAAACATACCATAGTTGATAGATGTTGATAGGTTACTATGGGGATTATGCTATCTGGTTAAATGGGGATTATGATAAACCGGGATCAGAGTTCATCAGCAGATCAGTAGGCCATCAGGACAGGAAGTCGGTAGGGCAGGAAGTCGGTAGGTCGGACAGGAAGTAGTAGGTAGGACACTCACTCACTCACTCGCTCACTCACACATTTCTCATTTCCTCAGTCTTTCCTTCTTTCCTTCCTTGCGTCCTTCATTCATTCATTTCTTTTCATTCATTTCTTTTCCTTCATATCTTTTCCTTCATTTCTGTTCATGCATTCCTTTTCATTCATTTCTTTTCATTCATTTCTGTTCATTCATATCTGCTCATTCATTTCTATTCATTCATTTATTTTCCTTCATTTCTTTTCATTCCTTTCTTTTCATTAATTTCTTTTCACTCATTTCTATTCATTCATTTCTTTTCATTCATTTCTGTTGATTCATATCTTTTCATTCATTTATCTTCATTCATTTCTGTTCATTCATATTTGCTCATTCATTTCTGTTCATTCATATCTGCTCATTCATTTCTGTTCATTCATTTCTGTTCATTCACTTCTGTTCATTCACTTCTTTTCATTCATATCTTTTCATTCATTTCTTTTCATTCATTTATCTTCACTCATTTCTTCTCATTCATTTCTTTTCATGCATTTCTTTTCATTCATATCTTTTCATTCATTTCTTTTCATTCATTTATCTTCACTCATTTCTTCTCATTCATTTCTTTTCATGCATTTCTTTTCATTCATTTCTGTTCATTCATTTCTGTTCATTCATTTCTGTTCATTCATTTCTGTTCATTCATTTCTTTTCATTCATTTCTTTTCATTCATTTCCGTTGATTCATTTCTGTTGATTCATTTCTGTTGATTCATTTCTTTTCATTCATTTCTGTTCATTCATTTCTGTTGATTCATTTCTGTTCATTCATTTCTGTTGATTCATTTCTGTTGATTCATTTCTGTTGATTCATTTCTGTTGATTCATTTCTGTTGATTTGTTTCTGTTGATTCATTTCTTTTCATTCATTTCTGCTCATTCGTTTCTTTTCATGCATTTCTGTTCATTCATTTCTTTTTATTCATTTCCGTTCATTCATTTCTGTTGATTCATTTCTGTTCATTCATTTCTTTTCATTCATTTCTGTTCATTCATTTCTGTTGATTCATTTCTGTTCATTCATATCTGTTCATTCATTTCTGTTCATTCGTTTCTGCTCATTCATTTCTGTTGATTCATTTCTGTTGATTCATTTCTGTTCATTCATTTCGTTTCATTCATTTCTTGATATTCATTTCTGTTGATTCATTTCTGTTGATTCATTTCTGTTGATTCATTTCTGTTCATTCATTTCTTTTCATTCATTTCTGTTGATTCATTTCTGTTCATTCATATCTGTTCATTCATTTCTGTTCATTCGTTTCTGCTCATTCAGCTCATTCATTTCTGTTGATTCATTCCTGTTGATTCATTTCTGTTGATTCATTCCTGTTGATTCATTTCTGTTGATTCATTTCTGTTGATTCATTTCTGTTCATTCATTTCTTTTCATTCATATCTGTTCATTCATTTCTGTTCATTAATTTCTTTTCCTTCATTTCTTTTCATTCATTTCTTTTCATTCATTTCTTTTCATTCATTTCTGTTCATTCATTTCTGTTGCTCATATCTTTTCATTCATTTCTTTTCATTCATTTCTCTTCATTTATATCTGCTCATTCATTTCTGTTGATTCATTTCTGTTGATTCATTTCTGTTCATTCATTTCTGTTGATTCATTTCTGTTGATTCATTTCTGTTGATTCATTTCTGTTCATTCATATCTGTTCATTCATTTCTGTTCATTCGTTTCTGCTCATTCAGCTCATTCATTTCTGTTGATTCATTTCTGTTCATTCATTTCTGTTCATTCGTTTCTGCTCATTCATTTCTGTTGATTCATTTCTGTTGATTCATTTCTGTTCATTCATTTCGTTTCATTCATTTCTTGATATTCATTTCTGTTGATTCATTTCTGTTGATTCATTTCTTTTTATTCATTTCTGTTGATTCATTTCTTGTTATTCATTTCTGTTCATTCATTTCTGTTGATTTATTTCTGTTCATTCATGTCTTTTCATTCATTTCTGTTCATTCGTTTCTGTTGATTTATTTCTGTTGATTCATTTCTGTTGATTCATTTCTGTTCATTCATTTCTTTTCATTCATTTCTGTTCATTCATTTCTGTTGTTCATTTCTGTTGATTCATTTCTGTTCATTCATTTCTGTTCATTCGTTCATTTTCTGATTCTTTCTTTTTCTGTTCATTCATTTCTGTTCATTCATTCATTTCTGTTGATTCATTTCTGTTGATTCATTTCTGTTCATTCATTTTTCTTTTTCATTTCATTTTTCTGTTCATTCATTTCTGTTCATTCGTTTCTGTTGATTTATTTCTGTTGATTCATTTCTGTTCATTCATTTTCTGTTGATTCATTCATTTCTTTTTCATTTCATTCATTTCTGTTCAATCATTTCTGTTGATTCATTTCTGTTGATTCATTTCTGTTTATTCATTTCTTTTCATTCATTTCTGTTCATTCGTTTCTGTTGATTTATTTCTGTTGATTCATTTCTTTTTATTCATTTCTGTTCATTCATTTCTGTTCGTTCATTTCTGTTGATTCATTTCTGTTCATTCATTTCTGTTGATTCATTTCTGTTGATTCATTTCTGTTGATTCATTTCTGTTCATTCGTTTCTGTTGATTTATTTCTGTTGATTCATTTCTGTTGATTCATTTCTGTTCATTCATTTCTGTTCATTCATTTCTGTTCATTCATTTCTTTTCATTCATTTCTGTTCATTCATTTCTGTTCGTTCATTTCTGTTGATTCATTTCTGTTCATTCATTTCTGTTGATTCATTTCAGTTGATTCATTTCTGTTCATTCGTTTCTGTTGATTTATTTCTGTTGATTCATTTCTGTTGATTCATTTCTGTTCATTCATTTCTGTTCATTCATTTCTGTTCATTCATTTCTGTTCATTCATTTCTGATTCTGTTCATTCATTTCTGTTCGTTCATTTCTGTTGATTCATTTCTGTTCATTCATTTCTGTTGATTCATTTCTGTTGATTCATTTCTGTTCATTCGTTTCTGTTGATTTATTTCTGTTGATTCATTTCTGTTGATTCATTTCTGTTCATTCATTTCTGTTCATTCATTTCTGTTCATTCATTTCTGTTCATTCATTTCTGATTCTGTTGATTCATTTCTGTTCGTTCATTTCTGTTGATTCATTTCTGTTCATTCATTTCTGTTGATTCATTTCTGTTGATTCATTTCTGTTGATTCATTTCTGTTCATTCATTTCTGTTGATTCATTTCTGTTGATTCATTTCTGTTGATTCATTTCTGTTCATTCGTATCTGTTGATTTATTTCTGTTGATTCATTTCTGTTGATTCATTTCTGTTCATTCATTTCTTTTCTTGCATTCATTGACTCAATGACTCAATGACTCAATGACTCGATGACTCGACGACTTGACGACTCGATGATTCATGTTTCGGCAGTGAGTCAGTGAGTCAGCCAGATCTTAGGCAAGACGCGCAGATCGCACCAGCGCCACCGAAGTCAGCACCATCTCAATTGTGCCATAGAACTCTATCCGCAGAATCCTCGCATACAGAAACTCGGCATGTAAAGGTGTGCCAGCAACTTGCAGTTTCGGATTTCGGCCATTTTTTTGTTTGCAAAAAATTGACACCACAGTTCCATACAGTTTCTCAGTTTGGTCACCTGGATCCCGGCTCCGCCCAGGCGCCTGTTTCCAAAGATCTTTGTTCAAACTTGGAGGAAGCTGTGGATCCTTCCAGTCTACACAAACCCGTGGATCTCAACTGGAGCCGACCCACCGTAGATCAAAATAGAAGGTTTTTAACATCGGTCGCGGATTCAAATGGTGGATTTGGAGTAGCATTTGGTAGAGTAACCTGACAATGGACAATGTCCCATTCATAGATGATTTCCATTGATATTTACATTGATAAAAAGCAAGGATTTCCTACAGATTGACAAATCTAGGAAGTTTCGGGAGGTTTTTCCACATCATCTCCAGGACCTGCAGCCTCGAAGTGCATGGCTACCAGTGGAGGAAAAGGCGGTGACGAAAATGATGCACAAGGCTGCATCCATGCTGAGCCACTCGGCGCGCCGAAAAAATGACGCCGAAAAAAGTGCCGAAGGTTGGAGGATATGCCATGACAGTTAAAACCATGATCAATCCCCAGTATAAAATTCGGAAGGTTGGCCAAACATTTGTTTTGGGGAGGTCTTCTACTGTGTTCTGATTAAGCTGACGGATGCACGGCTGAAGGTGTTTGAATTCTTGGTAAGCAGATGCTAGCCTATACTTCTCGGGATAAAAGGTAGGCCATGTTATCCTTGGATTACAGCGATGAGCTTGTGTAGGCAATGTGCATTAAAGTTTGAAGGCTCTTTCGGTCTTCAACAACTGCAAAGCAACAAGAAGGAACCATTTTTCCCATGCATTTTTAGCTAGTGCCCTGAGACTGGCGGAGCCAGTTGCCTCCAAATCAACATGGTGAAACGCAGCAACTACGAGCTAAGAGTGTCCAGCTCAATCATTAGAACTCAGGAGGCATAATACGTCTAAAAGATGTAGGAATATGTAGGAAAAACATTTGACGACATTCTGGTAGCACAGTCTTGGCGACATGTCTAGAATTTGGCGACGCACAGGAGCTTTGATGGGATTGCGACTCTTGATGCGTTATTTAACTGTCATGAATTGTGATGAATTGTCATGAATTGCCATGATATGCCTCAGGCCTTTCCGCGACTATCTCAACAGTGGAGAACACCAACGATTTGCCCGAAACCTCTCAGCCTTCATGTTATCTCCTTCATCCTTCAGGTGCGCCGGAGCGCCCCTGGCCTTGGCCATTTTCAAAACCAGATCATTTGCAATTCCATTTTGGTGCAAAGGTGGAAGCTGGGTGGGAGTACCAACTCGAAAAATCACAAGGTAAGGCAAGAACCCCTAGTTGAAGGCGGTATCATACAGACTAGCTGCTAGCTTTGTGTGCCACAGCCGAGATCCAGTACAAAGTACAAATCATTCAACTTCAAACCTGCCACCCTTCAATTTCCCTGTGATGTTTTTTTACTTCCCTTTCGCAGATGGTGCATTTTTTTCAGGTCGTGGACGCACCATCTGGAATCTTCTGACCGTGCTAGCTCTGGTATGGGATACCCGGCCATTTTGGTCCTGAAAGTCGCCGCGAAGCCGAGCCAATCACAAAGTTTCAAGCATGTCATCACCACACTCATGTTGTTTTGGACATTGGAGAGAATGACACTCGCTTTTGGACCCCCAAGTTTTTCTTGCAGGATCAATGCGCGAATGGTTGCTGTCAGCATTTTCGTTTTCATCATTTTCATCTGAAGTCTACTGATCGAGGATATCATTGCAATTCCGATGGAATTCTTTGACCTTCCCAACATGGTTCTGCTCTCTGTGGCTGAGTGGGTCACCATCTTTTTTTGGAGCGTGGACATCGCGCCGCCTGGCGCGTCAAGAAGCGGCTAACGCGTCGACATGGTGATGGGCTTGTTCTCGTTGTCCCAAACATTTGGATGCCCTGAATCGTACCCTCTGGTAAACGTTGACATAACTATGGAAAGATCCACCATTTTTAATGTGAAAATCCACTATAACTGGCCATTTTCAATAGCTATGTTAAATTACCAGAGGGTAGGTTGCCTATGTTGCCGCATTTGTTCAATTTGTGTCAACCTTCAAACATGTCGCTGTCCGTGACTCGTCAGACCATCCACTCATCACTGGCGCCATTGAGGTACGGCAAAGAAACATGTCGAACATATGTTTTTGGCACAAACTGAAGGTGCGCAATTTCTTGGAACCCCAAACAGTTTGTGAATTTTCCCAAGAGGAAGTCAGCAACAAGGGAAATCGATGGAAATCCCAAAAAGGGAGAGCAAGAAAAGTTGGAGTTGGCACAAAAAGTTGATTCTGAAAGAACCAGCAGATTTTATCCAGAAGAATGATCAAAACATGACATTGGCAAGAAAAGTGGAAGCAGCCATGAAAAGTAATCACAGAGGAATCAAAGAAACAAGATCAAAGAACGAAACAGCAAAGGGGCATCAAGAAATGGAAGTCTTCAGCCATTGCCGCCATTGCCATTGCTAATGTTGCTACGCATAACCTTTCCTCACTGGCGCTCTTTAGCTTATTGAATCTAGCTGGCAGTGGTCCATGACTTCGTGGAGTAGCCGAGATGAAGGCGTGATTTGAGAAGTGGCTGCTAAACTCCTGTTGGTTGATGATTGTAGGGGTTTATTATATTTCCACATGGTGGTTGGGGATGTGACTTTCATTGCTGAGGTTTTCATTCATCACCGGCATCTACAGGAAAGGAGTTCTGGTCATGGAACCCAAGGTCCTTCAGCTGAGGGAATTGACTTCGCGTCAAGCCTAAGACTGAAAATGGCTTCAACACGGGTAATTACTCTCTTTTTCAAATGTACTTACTTCTTATGGATTTTGAATTGAACATGGTATATTTTCTTATGGATGATGTTGTAACATGCGTTTTACGTAATGAAAACAAATAAAATCCGGTCAGTCATGTCTCATCCAGGTTCAAACCAATCTCGTGTTCCACACTATAGTTGTATCTACAATACCAACATTGGCTATTGGATTCATCGGCGTTTTGTCCTTTCTGTCCTATTTTGATCTATTTTGTTCAATCATTCAACAGCTGAATTCACAGGTGGCAGACACAACTCTTTGCAACGAATGAAATGTTGAAACACAGCCTGTCGAGGTCCCGCTGCGAGACATTTTTCGCCGTTGAGTACAATTCATGTCTAGCATTGTGCATGTATAATAAATACGTATAGACCGTATAGATTTTATGATTATATAGATATATTAGATATACACATTCAGGGTGCAAACATCATTCTATCATCATTATTTAAGTGAACTTTTCTCAGTGCCCGTCCGTGCCTTTTTTTTTTAAGGTTCCATGCTGTAACCTGCAAAGTCCATAGATCCAGTTCCACTGGAAACTGGGCCAGGTGGTTGCTATGGCGTATTTGCGAAGCTGGTTCTCCATGGATCTTCTCCTGGTGAGCTTTGACTGGTTGGTCTCTAGGATGAATCGGTGGATGGCATATGATATAAATTTATTTTTCACATTTGTATTCAGATTGTGTACATACATATATAATCATATATATATATTATATATATATATCATATCACATATATCACATTAATATAACTGCAGTATGATATATGTACATGATATATCTCCATATAACTGGTAGTTATATATATATATCACATATAACTGCATATATATAATATCTATAATAGAGATATGGAGATATATATTATGTATATAGATTCAGAATATCTTCACATATTACATATATCATATCATATAGATAAATATAATCATTACATATTACATATTATCATATGATAATCATAAATATATCATTAATAATTCTTATATGATTAGTGCTATCATATATATGATTGATATGGAGATTAATGATAGAACTACCCAGTCAGTATTCCAATGGCTCCAGTCGTCACGTCGTTTTTTCGGACGAGGCCATGGCGACGGCCAATCAACAAGCAGATCAGATGGACGAAGATGATCTTCAGCCGCAGACATCAGCAGATACCCAACCTGGTTATGACTAACATAGCTATGGAAAATAGGTGATTTATAGTGGATTTTCCCATTGAACACCATAGGAATATGGATTTTATGGTGGTTTAATGGGATTTAATGGTGGTTTAATGGGATTTACCCTCTGGTTATGGCTAACAGTTCGCCATGGTTAAGCCATGGCCCTAATCGAAATAGATGGTTTACCTATCAATAGCATGGTGATTTTCCATGGCGAACTGTTAAATAACCAGATGGTAGACAGGATTTTTGTGGCAGAGACATGCAGAGATAGACATGTTGATCTAGTTGATGAAAAGGATTGATCTAAAAGGATATCTAAAAGTATATCAATGGATGGGTTTCAGGGAAAATCTACAGGAAACCATAGATTTTCCCATTAAATATGGGGCTTTCCTGTAAATTTTCCCTTAAACCAATCCATTGAAGTATATGAACGCCGCGAACCGGTCCATCCAGAGCTCGGGGAGAGTTTTCCCCGATGTGACGGAAAACCTGGAGTCGTGCACCAACATCTCCGGTTTTCGGATCAAGCCTAGTTACAGCCATGTTGAGATATGTTAAGATTTCACGCAGCAGCTGAAAAAAACATATCTCTGTCACCATATATGATATATAACATATATGATATATAACATATATCATTTTAAACATATACGATATATAACATATATAATATATACTATATAGTATATATTAATATATATATATATAATATATAATATATAATAATATATATATAATATATATAATATATAATATATAATATATAATATATATAATATATAATATATAATATATAATATATAATATATAATATATACTATATACTTTCATATATATATATGTATATGTAATATAATGTATATACTATATAATTCATAATATTTCATAATATATAATATAATATTTTATAATATATAATATATAATATATAATAGATAATAAATATATAATGCATATATAATATATAATAAAGAATACATATATAATATTTAGTATATAATACGTATATTATATATAATACATATATAATATTTCATACATTCTATATAATATATACCATATAACATATAATGTATAACATATAATATATAGCATATACTATATGATATATACTATATAACGCTTAATATAATATATAATATATTATATCTAATGTATAATATCTAGTATATAATAATATATTATATCTAATGTATAATATCTAACATATAATAATATCATAGTATATAATATAAGATATATAATATATAGTATATAATATAATATTATATACACAATATATAATGTATAATGTATAATATATAATATATAATATATAATATATAATATATAATATATAATGTATAGTACATAATATATGACATAAAATCTATAACATATGATATAAAATAACATATATGATATTTAATATATAATATATAATATATAAGATATAAAATATAATATATAATATGTATAGCTGAATAGCTCGATTGTCTATGGCAAATTTGTCTTCGCACCCCAGCCCCAGCACCTCGTGTGTGGAGATGGGTAGATAGGTCCTACACAGATATGATGCCTGTGGCTAGGTAGGTTGCATGGTGGGACAATCCGTTGATACAATTTTATACTGATACTGATTACTTGATTGTTTGATCCTATGATCTGTCTCGGGAACGGCTTTGCTTGCTTTCTTGCTTTGGTGCCTCACTTGATTGGTTGCTTTGCTTGTTTGTTTGCTTGATTAATTTATCACCAGTCCAATCATCCAAATATAATCAAAATACCAATCAATTGACTGATTGATTGGTATTTTGATTATATTTGGATGATTGGACTGGTGATTGGACTGGTGATTGGACTGGTCACATCATCGAATCAATATACGGATGGCATGACATGACGCGACACGACACGACATTTGATTTCCCCTTTTGAAGTGAGTAATCACAATAATCAACGAACAATAATATGAAACAAGGTAAAACACATGATTTGACAGTTGATCGAAGTGCCAACCTTTTTGACTGATTGAGTCACAGTCTGGCTGATTAGGGCTTGGTCTGGAAACGGGCTGGCAAACTGGCTGGCCATTCCCTTGAGTGATCCACCATTGTGTGACGAATGAAATGTGAAAAACTCCTGCTGTGTATTTGTTGAGCAGGTGTCATGATGCCCATGATGCCTTGATGGCAAGCTGATCCTGGTAGCATCTGAGGCCTACAGAGTGGTTTGGGCACTCCGTTTGCTTCGCTTGTTTCGGATCGTTCGTTTAGGCAAGATGAGCAGGACCGGCCAGTGGTAACCAGAGCTTTTTCCCACACAGGAATGTTGGACCCCATTATTGAGAGGCATGCCCAACCTCAGATATTACGAAAATTGAGTAAACCATTTTTGCACGAGCAGTTTGACTGTGTGTTTGGTAGAATTTGGGTCCGCAGAGTGAGTGCGGACCGCCAAAGCGAAGGACAGCCAAGGTTGATGAAGTTCTTGGCTTTGATTCCCAGGTTGTGTTCCCAAGAGCTCTCATGTCATCAAAGTGCAGATCAGCAAACATGGCAGACAGGTCTTGAAACAGTTGGCCTTGCACTGAGTCAGCTTGAGCGGAGTGAGTCACAATCTGGCATGGACTTTCCGATCAGCAATTTGACAGGAATCAAATTTAGAATCATTTTCAAAGATTAGAGAATATTCATTTATAGAATTTATAAGAATATCTATTTGTTTGATATGGTGCTCCAAGGTGCTTTTGCAAGAGGGTGCTTACCAACCATACGCGTATGGAATCCGATTGGGCCCAGGTCCACAAAAACGCATTTCCGGTTTGAAACGTCCTAACCACTTTCACTTCATTTGGCCAGACACATATTCGTGGATTTTGTTCGAGGGCACATCGGCCCATCTCTTCGATCAGTTTATGTCTGGATAGTTGACCGAAGATCATCCGATAGAATACCAGAATTACCCTCTGGTAAACTAACATAGCTATGGAAAATCACCATGTTTAATCGGAAAACTCACTATAAATGGCCATTTTCAATAGCTATGTTAGTTTACCAGAGGGTACCAGAAACCATAACTTCGTATCAGTGGGTCATCCTGAAGATCCATGTTTCATTTTATGGATGATTTTTCTGCATGATATTTTTCTTTTAACCGCTGTATACTTTCCTGTATACTTTATTGTTGACTCAGGGTGTTGTGGATTTAACCGGTAAATTCGTTCTTTGTCTCTTCGCAATTTCTCAGAAGGCTCTTGGCAACCAGCAATTCTGACTTTAACCATGCCACCAATCACCAATCACCAATCATCAATGATCACCAATCCAATGATTGCAGAAGGGGAAAAAACATTATGAAGTAATCCTAGAAAACGTATTGCCCAAGTATGGTTTCCCCTCAAGAATAGTAGAAAGCTGTGGAAAAATACGGTGGACGTTTCGGTAAAATATCAGTTCCGTTCCCTGCTGTCGGTTCTTGGGGATGTACACATTGCCCTGGACAGCTCATTTGTCCTCAGCCACTTAAGTCTAATTTTGGATTTACCATTTAGGCTACAGAACATATTGACATCTAATTTGCTACTCTAGGTGGTAGGTGAATTCAGGTGGTAGGTGAATTCTGCTGACATTGTGTGGATCGTAATGAGGATCGTTTGGATGTGCTTTTGGTAGTTTGATGAAACTCCGGAGGGCCTCAGGTGCAAAACTTGCTTCCAGTTTCAGGGTTTTTTCTAACCAGTGCCCATCAATAAAAAAGGGAGACATGGTCATCACACTCTGAAAGTTGGGATCCGATTTTTTCGCAGGACTGCTATGAATATGAAGGAGGCCATGCATAGCTGGGCCACATCTGTTCAGAAACTCGGCGATTTCATCCAGATGTAGGCCGGCATAGGCTACTCACTGTGCCACGTCGTATCGACTTTCCTAAGTGAACGGCACATGAGATACATTAGGATATGTGAATACATGTGATATCTTAACTGGTTGGTGGTTTCACACATGAATTTTATTTTCCATATATCATATATGGGATGTCATCCCAACCCCATTGACGAAGTCCATCATTTTTCAGAGGGGTAGGTCAACCATCAACCAGTTAAAGAAATGGATTGATTTAAGGGAAAATCTACAGGAAACCATAGATTTTCCCATTAAGTATGGGGGTTTTCCTGTAAAAATTCCCTTAAACCAATCCATTGATTAAAGAAATCTTCGTGTTTCTGGTAAGTTGTGGCTGATCATGCTGATCAAGCCATCAAGTCAGCGGGATCATCATTCCTCTGGGTGTATCATCTAGTTAGCTTATTGACTGAAGAGGCCTTGCGGACCCCAAGATTCTTGGGAAAGTCTATGGAAGGGGACGCTTTGTCTATCCATTTTTGGTGGTGTTTTCATACTAGCCGTATGGCTAGTACTACTAGTAGTCCCGGTAGTTAGTGGGAAGAAGTCCCTCGGCATCGCTGTCCGTAGCAGGATTGGTTCATGAATCAATCATGGATTCGATCCGCAGGGCCTACATTCTTACATCCCGTGATGACGCTTTCCATAGGATTGGCCATGATTCTTCAAAGAGGTTCTTCGATCACTACTATCACTACGCCTTCAAAATTCAGCCAATATCTGACAGCTGCTACTTGATGGACACGGTTGGACCCACTCAGGTACAGCATCTTTATGAATATCTTCCTGCTGATGCTGATGCTTCATATGAAGCTCGCCTCCGGGAGCCACAGCCTGCCCGATACCAGCCATGCCATGTCCAGTGAAAAACCATGTTTTTTCCGCCGGTTTGGGGATCATTGGAGATGCACCAAGGATCTCCTGTGGATGGTGGGCATTTGGTCACACTTGGGGCAATGCAGATGGCTGGTCGGTGAAGTATGAAATCGAGGGGATCTCTCTCTTGTACAGCTCCTGGTCGGCGTATGGTTTTCTATGCTGGGGCTTTAACTGTCCTTTTTTTCAGCATCTCAATGGTTAGAACAACCAAGTCTCATTTCCATATTGAAAACCAGCAAAATTCATAGCATAGTTTTTTTGCTTTTTTAGAGCCTCCTGAAAATATGGGTGGCATCCCATGTTTGGTGCAAGTACTGTAGCTTAGTTTTGCTTTGTGACGACCTGTCCTATCCTGTCCTTCTCTGCCCCATCCATTTGCCTCCTCTTCCCGTGATTGCCTTCCATGCCGTCACCACGCATCCACACGATTTTGTTCTCTTTTACCCTTTTATCCCTTCTCCCAAACCGATCTATCTCTGTAGAAGGCCTTGCAAGGACAATCAGATTGTGTCAGATTGCTCTAGCCACACTCTGCGGTTCTGAGTCGCAGACTTAAACCAGAATTTCCGACTCCAGTAATTTCAAGGCCGTCTGCCAGATACTTAGCATCTCTCGGCACCAAGAGCTGATAAACTACAGGTGTAGTTGGCTGGTCGCGCGTGGAAATCTGCAAGCTTTTATAACATACAATATTGGCATGTGGGTCATTTTGCAGCTACAAGTAATCATGAGTCATCACGAGTCATCATGAGTCACCACGAGCCATCATGGGCCACCATGAGCCACCATGAGTCATCATGGGTCATCGTCATCATCGTCGTCATCCCCATCGTCATCATCATCAGTAGCATGACCAGTAGCATGATCAGTAGCATGACCAGTAGCATGATCAGTAGCATGACCAGTAGCATGATCAGCAGGATAAGCCTGATCAGAATGCATGATCATCATGATCATCACGATCACCACGATCACCACGATCACCACGATCACCACGATCACCACGATCACCACGATCACCACGATCACCACGATCACCTCACCACAATCACCTCACCACGATCATCGCGATCATCACGATCATCAACATCACCACCATTACCACCATCACCATCACCATCACCATCACCATCATCATCATCATCATCATCATCATCATCGTCATCGTCATCGTCATCATCATCATCATCATCATCATCATCATCATCATCACCACGATCATCATCATCATCATCATCATCATCATCATCATCATCATCATCATCGTAATCATCAGCATCATCGGCATCATCGGCATCATCGGCATCATCGGCATCATCGGCATCATCGGCATCATCGGCATCATTGGCATCATCGGCATCATCGGCATCATCGGCATCATCGGCATCATCGGCATCATATGGCATCATCGGCATCATCGGCATCATCATCATCAGCAGCATCATCATCATCATCATCATCATCATCATCATCATCATCGGCATCATCGGCATCATCGGCATCATCGGCATCATCATCATCATCATCGTCATCATCATCATCATATTATCATATCATCGTCATCATCAGCATCATCATCATCATCATCATCATCATCGTCATCGGCATCATCGGCATCATCGTCATCATCATCATCATCATCTTCATCATCGGCATCATCGGCATCATCGGCATCATCATCATCATCATCATCATCATCATCATCATCATCATCATCATTGGGTGGGTGGGTCGGTGGGACGCGGCAACTAACAGTCGACTTCTTTTGTGTCCAACTCAATGCCTCTTTGTTGTGGATGGCATGTAGTGCCTTTTCAAATTCATTTCCGCTAGCAGGCAGGTAGTTGATGCCTCCTACTAAAAGCTCACTTGCGCACAGGCGCACATACTTGATGCTACGTTACTTACCGTTACCTTGGACTTTCACGCATACCTGATGCTACGCTGCTTCAACCCCACGCCGGCGCCCAAGTCATAGACAGGCGCAGGTGCTTGGTGAAGGAGTTCATTGGGCCCTCTTTGTCAAGAAAACTCAAGAACTTGCAAGGAACACACAGAGATCGACATGTTGATTTATGAACAGATCGGCGTATCGTGTAAAGACCTCGATATCTTGCTGTGACACTGTATGAGGCATGATGACTTGAAGAAGCTGCTGCGTTTGCTGCACTGGCAGATCAATGTCAATGCCTGCGAGAAAGTAGTTTGCGACTTTCCAGTTCGCTTCAAAAATCCCTTTTCGAGCAAAAGATTCACAGAAAAAACAGTGTCTTGCGACTTGCGACTTGCGACTTCTGCAGTATCCGCCGCGAAACCAAGCGGCATTCTACGCGTCACCAACTGTGTACTTTGGCCCTTCAGTGACAGTTGTTCCGTGTTGTTCCAATACCTTCCCGCCCACAGGCCCAAAGCGGCTTCTTTTCTCGATTCCCTTGGTATAAACGCTTTCAGTACTTAGTACACTTGCTTAAGCCCTTGTGAAACTAGAGATGGCTCTCCCCGTCAGAGTCATTTTTGCGATTATCACCGCCCTTCCGACTCTGTTCCATTGACCGCCCACCGAGCAGCAACCCTAGACGTCCATGAAAGTTACTACGGCTCCCTAGTGCAAGATGGTTTGACAACAGTGCCGGACAGTACAAGTTCAGTGCAGGACAAAAGTGGTGAAGTTTTCAGCCCGTGTTGCCAGGATACTTGGCTTTCATATCCTAAGGAGCACCCCAATAGTTGAAGACATGCCGTGGCGTGGAACTCTGCAGAGCTGTCACTGATTGCAGTAACAGTGTTGATCTTAAGTTAACGCTTAGTCGTTTCTCGCCACAGAGTGCAGGAGCCACGGACAAATTGAACAGAAGAGATGCGTAACCTCATGTTGGTACACTTGATTTGTTTTCTGGCAGCTTGCAGAGCATCAAGCAAGCCATGCAACTTGGTTGGAGAAACTAGATAAGGACATCTTTAGAGACATGAGTGCCGCGCGCTGACGCTACTGGCCAGCGGTCATGACTGGCCGTCCAAAACTGTTCATGTCATCTGGCATTGTGATCTTAGCGCGGGCTTGCCGCATGTATCAAGGCATCCGTGCCTGAAACCAAGTCTAAAGATTTTGCTCGGCTTCGCGCCATGTTGCGGCCACCGGCGCCTGCATTAGAGATCACGCACCCATGGATTTGCACAATGCCAAGTTGTCCGACGGTGCCCGCTTCCCTTCGCTGCCACTGATGGTAGCTTTCGGCGTTCTGCCATTTTGACAGCGCCTGAGTGTGGTTAGGCAGTTCGAGGCCATGTGCTCCTGCCAGAAAGCAGTGGGAGTTGGAATACCATGGCCACTGCAGCGGCAGAATGGTTTGCTCCTGCGTTGCACTGCCAGAAGTATGCCTTAAGTGAATCTCCATTTTTCGGGTGCAACATCACCAGGGATGATTTGACCGCGCCTGTGCGAACTCTTGTTCTCAAATTTCGCACCAATGTTGCGCCTTCGGCGCTTGCTTGTTGCCCTCGCTCTTTCAGGCAAAGTGAACAAGTGGGGATGGCCGTTGAAGAGCTATTATGATATTAGCTCGAGTTTGTCATGGACTACGCTGTCACCCGAAATGAACTCTTGGAAAGTCACTGCTCAGGCCCAAGCCTTTCGCGCGATGGTTGCTCAATCTCTTCGACTCAGCGAGGTATTGCCGAAATGGCAGTAGAAGCATGTTTCTTTGGCAACATGCGAGCCCTTCAGACATGTCTACTGGGATGGTATGCGAAAGAAATTCCTAGTGCTTAACGCCCGCAAAGATTGACATCGGCCAGACCGTGCTCATCATCGACCATCAGTGCGTATGGCTTGGGTTGGGCTAAGGGTGCTTACATTCTGTCAGGATCGGGTCTCCTGTCATCTGTGCTCGTGGAGAAGAAGCTCCTGTCCTTCAGGTCAAGACCTGACTGGATTGTGTGGGCCTGCGGATGATAGTGAGAAGCGGCTGCTGGTCCCTGTACGCTTTCTTTCCCGGAACGTGTTTGGATTGCGACCTGGTTCGCGATTCTTCGTGATTCTTCGCAATTTACAGCACTCTGGCGAGCAACTTACTGATGATTCCGTTTGCAGGAATTCGAAGCGGGGCAGATGGGATATTGCGTACAAGTTTGGCGCAGGGTTCTCAGCTGCCATTCCAAGTGTGGATATGTGTTCATTCACATCGAAGGTCTGCACCATGTGTATTCTTGCTTTTTGTTGCAGTTCATGGTGGGATTTCAATCGCTGTCCTTTCGGACTGCCTCTTCTCGGCGCAGTTGGCCCACAGACTTTCTTGCCCTGGATTCTATTCTGGCCCTTGGCAGTTGCTTCGCAGCTAGGTGCTGCAAGCTATTTACTTGGGTCCCATCCCATGGTCGTATGGCGTCTTGGAGACATCAGTTTGAATACCTGAGGAGACTTTGGAAGGATCGTGCTGACAAAGCAGCTTCTGGTTCGCAATTATTCTGTGTTACCTGCGGAATTTGGCGAAGATCTCGCACAAGCTATGTATGATACAGAATTGGGCACATGGAGCAATGTGCCGACTTGCCAGTGTTCCAGTACCTTGCCGCTGCTGGCCAAGAGTTTGAAGCGATGGCCTGAGAAAGCTTGCGTGTGGTAACTTCCGTGCTTGAGTCGCGAATTACAACCCCATCAGCATATCGTCATATCGTCAAATCATCACATCATCATATACATATCAACATCATCAGCACCATCATCCTCAGCAAGGTCATGGTTATCATCATCATCATCATCATCATCATCATCAGCAGCAGCAGCAGGAGTGTCATCACCACCACCACCACCACCATCATCATCGCTGAGGCTACACAACATGTTTGCATTGGGCCATTAGCCAGTTGGGCGTAAGCTCCTCCGACATCGAGGTGCAGCCATGCTGGTTGTCGTCCTTGAATCGTATGGAATTGGAAGGGGCAGATGTCTGGAAACACACTGGTAGCTGTAGGTTTTTTTTCCCATTCGCATCTATCACATGTAGGTTTTTTAAAAGCAATTTAAAGTATTCTTATTTTGCGCTGAGACATCTTAGGATGAGAAACTCATTGACATTGCGACTTCGGCCGGTGTCACTGGTGGTACAAGTTGAACCGTTACCCTTCCTTTTTCATGTTTGATTTTGAAACACACCAGACCTTGAACATGCTAGTTTTTTTGATAGACCGTACAGTTATGATAGAAAATTGATGAAAATGGTCTATGGGGTTCATTTACAGTTTAGATGGATTCAGTGCCGACAAAAATAATTCTTGTACAGCAGTTTGACCGTGTATGTGATTTCTTCACACTTTCCTATGCATTCCCGCTTAATTCCATAGGTTCACCAAAATGTCGAAATAAAACACATTCTGTGGAGAACCGTGGTCCTGTCAATTGATCATGTTCCTGTTGACCCACCCGTTTGCTCGATATTGTCCTAACCTGGACGGCATACGGGCAGGCCACAAATTCCACTGAACGAATCTACAGCAACTGAACAGCAATAAATGTTTAGACAACATGCAGACGTTGTGGGTTTTGAAACTCTTCTATGGCAAGCGTGATTGTCTTTTTCTTCGTGGCGGACGATCTGGCTGTGACCAGCGTTATTCCTTAAGGTATAGTAGTGGCGATGGTGTCGTTGGTGACCTTTTCCACCATGGTGAGTTCGATGACGTCTATGATGGGCACATGGTATGCCGAGAAGGAGCCATGACATGCCATGATTTTTCCGAAATCAATGGATACATTGAAGAACACAACTGTCAAATACGCTAGGAATTGATGATCATTCAGTCACTTATAAGTGGTTACATGCAATTTTAAGTGCTATCCGACTCCAGCAAGCGCAGCCGATAGGTTCTGAAAGATGCTGGTAGAGCAAATGCGGCAACACCCCAATCAAAATATTCTGCGTAAAGGGTAATTTTCAAAACCGTGAGCCTTCAGCGTTTGTGCGTCATGCACAGGAAGAAGAGAGAAAACAGTTCAATGCGCTCCAGCGGTACCTCAAGAACCTTAGACCCAACAAGCCAGAATGTGATGCCTTTTTGTTGCGTTGCATTTATGGTTCGGATTTTTCGAATCAGGGTGAAGGCATTTCACTGTCATTGTTTTCTAGCAACATCAGGACGACTAGCATTTTTAGAGTTTTGTTTCTTTATCGACAATGTCTAGCACTCGCTGCGTTGGAAAGGGTGCATACATCCTTGGCAGAGGTATGACTAACCGAGGCACTACACAATCTCTCCTGGACTTAGCCAAAGGATCACGCATTTTCTGCAACACGCTGCAAGCCAAAGAAAGGCAACGGCGGGAACGCCCGGGCTTTTCGTCGCGCTTGTCACAGGGCCACATCGGGCCACATGGTGATGGCATGTGTTGCTCCCTTCGCAGTATGCCAGGCGACGGTGTCAGATCTGCACGTGCCCTTGCTAGAGCTTCTGTCCAAGCCCTTGCGGGGAGAGTTGCAGCTGGAAGCTGGGTCACAAGGATGTTCTTTCAGGCACCAATTTCCTGTTCATCTTGATATGGAGGTTTCCTAAAATGGGGATACCCCCAAATCATCCATCTTAATGTGATTTTCCCTCATAAACCATCCATTTTGGGTACCCCCATTTTCAGGAAACCTCCATATCTTGATTATCAATGCTTACATTGCTATGTTCGACCGCTTTTCAAATTTTCTTCGGCAGGGCCTTCTGCCTGGCTGTACTTACCATTGTCCATGTTGCTGGTTTATCGACACAGCGATGGAATCACGAAAGGTAGCGGCCAAGTGTCAGCCACCGACAATGTGCGTCAATAGCGTTAGCACTAGGGTGATCTACTATACTTCGTAGGGGCATGTGCAGTGTCGGCGACTGAATCTGGCTGCCTGTGCGCTTCGTCATCGCCCCCATCATCCTTACCATCATCGTTCTAGTCCTCATCATCCCCGTCATCATTTTCAGCATCATCAACACAATTGTTCCCCAGTACAGTACAGTTTATTATATCTGTATCATGAGTCATATGATATTCTGTCATTTTTTTGTTGATTGAATATGTATCGGAGTGTGCATCGGAAGTTTGTCTTTGCATGAAACTTCCTAAAACGATAGGGGACTCACAAAAAACGATACGTTTTGCCGAACGCGCTAGTGGCGTATTTGTTGGTTAAATCGCGGGGGGGTATGGAGCGTGGTCCTGGGTCCTTTCGTGCAACCATGGTAGAGATCCTGAGTACCCTCTGGTAAACGTTTACATAGCTATTGAAAATGAGCATTTATAATGGATTTTCCCATTAAAAATGGTGATTTTCCATAGTTATGTCAACGTTTACCAGAGAGTATGTATTGAACTGATGATGCGTTTTGTGGTCTGGCCATGGCCATGGTGTTGTGCTTGTGCCGGGTCGTCTTTACACAGGTGGAGTACTGTATCCACTTCACCATGAATGCGTGTGGCCATGCAATGGGTTGATACCAGATACCAAAAAGGCCTTTCACGTTGCTGGCGGTCACTCTGACAATGGACAATCATATAATAACGCATTCATGCAACCACACCTCATTTTAGCATGCCTGAGCCTTCTGCAACGCTATTTTGATGGACGCCTCTTGCCACAATATTCTACCCATCGCCATTTTGCAACTGAGGCAATTGCGTTGAATTCCTTCCATGTTGTTGTCCAATATTGTCCCTACCTCTCGCCCACCCATTCTCAAATACCACAGCTGATCCTCCAAGTTGTTTTCCAAAATTCCGGCAGTTGGATACGACGTCAGCCGGTCGTAGTATCCGAAATAAGACTGCGCCTGGATTCTGGCAGGGTTGCAGAAGTGGAGCCAGGATTTTGATGGAGATTTCCATGTATTTCCTACATCCGCGCTGGGTCGACAGTGCAAATGGTGGTTTGGCATAACGGGTTACCTGATGTTACCTAAGGATCCAACAAACATCCAAAAAACATCCAATACATCCAACATACCTCAAATAGATGACCCGCACCACAAGCACTGGGGCCTAGGAGAAGTTCTGCCAGAGTATGAAAGAGAATGCCTTTCTTTATGCGCTGCTTCATTGTCACTGGGCATGACATGGCTTGACTGGGCTTGACTGCGTTGACATTACTGGGTCGCCACGAGCATTTGCAGTCGGACTTAAGACCACATGTAGATAATTGATTATAATTGTAGAATTATGAGATATTTAGTCTCCTGCTTAGCGCCACAATCTTACCTCTTTCAAACATCACTAAAAATTCGCCCGTTTTTTGTTGATGGCCTTTTGGGGTTTTCCCGCGTGTTTCGCCTGGCGTATCATATTTTCGGTACCAGATTCCTAGTATATCACTACAGAAAACACCATATTTAAGTCTTGTACCCATTAAATCCTAATTTGGTGTGTTAATGGGTTAAAAATCAGTAATTATATCACCATAAAAAAAACACTATATTTGTCTTGTAAATCCCATTAAGTCCTAATTTGATGGGTTAAAAATCCTATGAAAATCGCCATGTATGGCTAGTATGGCTGCGGCCCTTGGCTGATCTCCTGAGGTGACAATGTGACGGTGTTGGACGTGATGCGTAGTTTGGCCACCAATGCCATCTCAACGCTCATCTTGGGTGGCAAGGACAGGGATATCCACATCTCGGGAAATACACAGTGAAGCCATGGTCAAGCAATGGTCAAGCAATGGTCGGGCACCACAAAAATACCACAAAAAGCAATCGCAATCCATTCCAAGACCATGAGAGTGGCCTGAAATACTGCCGTTTATGATGCTTGCGCTCCCAAGAAGAGATTTGCTTCTGACGTCGCGGCAGGACGTGGTTTTCAGATTTGCCATGGAAGCGACAGCCAGTTATCTACCAGTGGAAGGTTTGCAAGCCCAGGATAGAACATATATATATATATATATATGATATACACACATGTATGAGTGACATGAAGGAGAAGCTCAAGAATCTGGTTCGGAAAAAATCATCAGTTCGGAGTTGTTTTGGGCTCGCCCTGCTGACATCTGCTGACATCTGCTGACATTTGACGTCTGACATCTGCTGACAGCTTCAGGTTCTTTCAGCTATTGGCAAGAGAATAAGCCGGAGGTGAAAAAATGTGAGGGATGGGCAGCAGAGTGCGGACCTGAGATTTCTCCGCCGAATCGGCGGAAGTTTCCAGAAAGCGATGTTCTTATCGAGTGAAGGACAAGTTTTGCTTGGAGTTGCAATGATGTCTCAAATCTTCTCAACTCTTTTCAAAAACTCATCCTCACCTTATCTCACCTCTTTTTTTTGAAACTCTTCTCACCTCTTCTCCGATCTTTGCACCTCTTCTCATCTCTTCTCACCTCTTGTCAACTCTTCTCACCCTCTGCTCTACTCCGCTCTACTGTCTTTCCCCTACTCTGCTCTACTTTACTCTATTCTACTCTATTCTACTCTATGCTATTGCCTCTACTCAAGTTAACTCAGCGCAACTCTACTCTACTCAGCCCACTGGACATAAGACTTCTGAGCTACTTCTCTGCTTCAGGACATGCCAACTGGACTTAAAGACTTCTGAGCTACTTCTCTATTTCAGGAAATTGCCAACCGGACCTAAAGACTTCTTGGCAACTGCTGCTGTTATCTTTCTGTATCCCGGAGTTTCTGTCCGAACTTTCTTTGACAACACATACATATAATCACAAAAGTGTACATAATACCTGCTAGACCGTAATGCTGTATATGTTTTGTGTAAATATATATATATATGATATGTGATATGTGTATATGTATATATATATGCATATATGAATATACATATACATATGAATATACATATACAAATACATATACATATGCATATGCATATACATATGCATATACATAAAGATATACATGTATATATATATATATGTACAAAAAAATCACCAGGTTGCCATATTCATATGACCAGCCCGATCCCCTTTCCATCCTTTTCGTGTCTCGTTGCTGTGAGGATGTGCTTATGGACAGAGTGGTTCTACGTGGGCGATCTAGTCGCTGACACAGTCTCGAGTGCCTTCGTCCTGGATGTGGAAGCCTTTTGCGACAGAATCGCTGGTCACTTGGCATTTCAGATTTGGCATTTCAGACTAGGACCGCTAGGGTCAAAACATGGTGTGTGTATATATATATATGTATATTACATATTATATATAGATTGCATAATATATATATTACATATAATATATATTACATTTTAAATATATATATATATATATTATATTACATATTAAATACATATTACATATTGTATATATTACATATTATATATATACCATATTATATAAATATTACATTATATAAATATATTACATTTTATATAGTTAACATATTACATATTATATATTACATATTATATATATTACATATTATAAATATTATATATTTTATATTTGACAAATTAAGTATATATATTTTAAAAAATATATATATTACATATTATATGTATTACAAATTATATACATTAAATAATATATATTTTACATGTTATATACATTACACATTATATATATTACATATGATACATATTACATATTATATATGTATTACATATTGTATATAAATTGCATATTAAATATATTATATTGTATATATATTATATTATATATTCAAAAATTTACATATTATATATATTATATATTATATGTATTACATTTTATATATATCACATATTATATATATTATATTATATATTACATATATTATATATTACATAATATATATATATATATATTGCATATTATAAATCTTACATATTATATATACAACATATTTTATATATTACATATTAAAAATATTACATATTATATATATATATATATATTACATATTAAATATTGCATTTTATGTATATATTACATATTATATATATTACATATTATATATTACATATATATTACATATTATATATATATTACATATTATATATATTACATATTTTACATATATATATATTAATTACATATTATATATACATTACATATTAAATATATATATATATTAATATATGTATTACATATTATATATATCTTACATTGAATATTAAATATATTACATATTATATATAAATTACATATTATATATATTACATTTTATTGATTACATATTATATATATTACATATTATATATATTACATATATATATATTCCATATTATATATATTATAATATATGTTACATATTATATGTATATTACATATTATATATATTACATATTATATATATTACATATTATATATTACATAGTATATATATTACATTTAATATATATTATATATATCACATATTATATATGTTACATTTTTATATTATATATATTACATTTTATATTTATTACATATTATATATATACATTACATATTATTTATATACATTACACATTATATATGTATATATTTCATAATATATATATTCCATATTATATATATTACATATAATATATATTACATATTATATTTATATATATATATATATATATTATACATGATATGGTTTATGATCATCCATTCCTGGGCCAAACCGCAGTATTCCATCATATTCCTGGCCGGTCCAAGCCACGGAGCCGCGGTCCAAGCCGAGCTTTCGCCTCCGTCCCAGTTTTGCCCAGGCAGCCGGGTGACGCAAAAATTGGCGGTGGCATATGCCAATGAATATGTTCAGGCCCTGCATACGGAGGACCATGCTGTCGAGGGTGAAGATGTCTGTGAATTGTTGATGTTAACAAAGTTTTTTGGAAAACACGCGATTTGGGCGTTTGAATCCGTTTGGCCTTTGATGAAGACACTTATGTGTTTGCAGTGACTGTTCCTTTAGTGTTTTTTTAGAGTGTGAGATTTACGCTAAAGTAGCCAATCAATGGAGAGGACTTGAGTCAACGGCATAAAGGTCCCCTGCAAATCCAAACCTAACTCCAAAGTCACTGACGATCTGCTTGTCCCCCTTTCCTTTCAGGATTGTTGGACGGATCCTTGGCCAGAATTGGATCCCGGTCCTGTCGTGTTATGGCCAACTCACTTTAAAAAAAAAGTCACCGGGCCATCGAAAAAATGTGCTTTTCATATCTTTTCATGGGCTGGGTCTGTGCTTCCTTGCCTCTTCAACCAAGAACAGGTGGGTCACATTCATCATTGGAAGTTTATCATCGTCCCATGTCTCATATCAAACATCCTGAAATTTCAGGGAAACCACCATATTTTACAAACCAAAATGGTGTGCAGATTTAGAATCCAACTCCGAAATTCTTGTTCTCTGCCATTTCTGGATTTTTCAAAAAAAGGTTTGTGCAAGCCCTGGAGGATTTTGAAGCATCAACAGAGAAGAGCCTCAAATTGTTGCGGGTTCCATCATGAGATCTCATGAGTGCATTTTGCAGGGTGAATGAAGCAACAGGCTTCAAGTGTACAGATGAAAGCAGAGGTGATAATGGGTTGGTCCCACAGCATGTTCATTTCTAGCACATGCGGGTTTAGCCGACATGCAAACGCCTCGGAAGCATTTGTGAACGTGTTTTTCCTCATCGACTTATTAAGACCTTGGGTGCTAGTCTTGGATTTTCTAATCGGCAACGAAGGTCAGTCATTGCAGGCATTAGTCTCTGTTGAGACAGGACTTGTGGTCTATGGACAAGCTGCCTGAAGTGCAAGACCTCTTCCGTGGACGTGGTCAAGAGCCCCAACTGATCTTCAACAGCTTCGCAAGAGCTGGAACACCAGGACTGCTCGAGCCCCGGCCCCGAGGTGTTAAGGTCAACCAATCCTCCGCCCAAAGCCGTGTTTTTTCAAAGGGAATTCCGCAAATTTTGCTTTGCAGGATTATTGTTTTCTGAAGGAAAGCTGCACCTGGTGAATCCATATCTTCTTTTCAAATTGAATGCTGCATTATTTCAAACAAGTATTGAAGTATTGTAACCTACCCTGCCATTGCCGAAAGGAATTGAAATTTCGTTTATACATGTTGCCATTTGTGAAATTTATTCACGTACCAAATCTGGCCACAGATTCATTCTTCATGAAAGAAATAAAACACCAAAGTAAAGTCGGTATTTTTTTTTTCGTGTGCGGGCTAACTTGGTTCCACTGATGTACCCGTATCACATACATATGTATGGAAATCCAATGTAAAGCCGGTACTATTTTTTGTGTGCAGGCTAACTTCATTCCACTGATGTACATGTATCACATATTTATGCCTGCGGACCGAAAACCGTTCCCGTAAAACGCACGTTTTTGAATATCGCGATTGTGGGGTGGGGTGGGGTGGGGTGGGGTGGGGTGGGGGGGGCATGTTAACGTTCCTTGTACTTCGTACATGATATATTGCCATGCTGCTAAGATCTCTGGGATTATTTACTACGTTACATGTTGCTACGCTGCTGAGATCTCTGGTATCGTTTACTACGTTACATACATGTTGCTACGCTGCTGAGATCTCTGGGATCGTGTACTACGTTACATACATGTTGCTACGCTGCTGAGATCTCTGGTATCGTTTACTACGTTACATACATGTTGCTACGCTGCTGAGATCTCTGGGATCGTTTACTACGTTACATACATGTTGCTACGCTGCTGAGATCTCTGGGATCGTTTACTACGTTACATGTTGCTACGCTGCTGAGATCTCTGGGATCGTTTACTACGTTACATGTCGCTACGCTGCTGAGATCTCTGGGATCGTTTACTACGTTACATACATGTTGCTACGCTGCTGAGATCTCTGAGATCTCTGAGAGCTTGGCAATGGAGATGCATTCACAAGAATGCTGACTGCCAGCTGTTTACTACGCATGCGTTGCAGCGATGGCGCTGAAAAACGAAAAAAAGCGCCCCAAGTTTTTCCAGGATTTCCAATCATCAAATTAGCACGTCACTGTGGTAAAATCACCATTTTTTTAAAAAATGTGCGTTTTATGGGAACGGTTTCCGGTCCGGCGGGATATTTATGTATGCCCAAAAAAGACACGCATCAACATCTTCAGAGAAACTTAGAAGTGCACGTGTGCATACATTAATACACGCACATACATACATACATACATACATAAATACATAAATACATCAATACATCAATACATAAATACATAAATACAGTAATACATAAATACATATACATAAATACATACGTACGTAGATAGGTAGGTAGGTAGGCAGGCGTGCACATGCATGCATGCATGCATGCATGCATGCATACACATACATACATACATACATACATCCATGCATGCATGCATACATACATACATACATACATTCATACATACATACATATACATACATACATACATACACACACATACATACATACATACATACATACCTACGTACATGCATGCATGCATACATACTTACATACTTACATACTTACTTATTTACATACATACATACATACATAGATACATAGATACATAGATACATAGATACATAGACAGACAGACAGACAGATAGATAGATAGATAGATAGATAGATAGATAGACACATACATACATACATACATACATACATGCGTACATGCATACATACATACATACACATACATATACACATGCATCTACGCATTCATATACACATACATATACATATACAGATACAGATACACATACACACATACATACATACATACATGCATACATACATACATACATACAAATATACATACATACAAACATACAAACAGACACACAGACACACAGACACACAGAGACACATACATACATACACGCAGACATACAGACATACAGACATACATACAAACATACATACGTACGTACGTATGTACGTACATGTATATGAGTCTACATAATATATACATACATATATATGATTATATGATTATATACGCGTCTATTCTAGGACAATCACAATGGATAAAATCATCTCTAAGATTCAGCACTCGCCGCAGGAGTGTCTGGAAGCGGTCGTTTTGGGCGGGGAGGAAGTGGCGTGCTCGGACGAGGTGGTCGTTTGTCAACCTTTACTCGGGGCGTTGTCCCATTGGCGGACTAGTGCCTTGACACATGGCAACTTCAAAAAATGGCACCGAAAAACGGTTAATGTGTTTCCAGATGAGGGAACTTATTAACCATTATTTACCATAGTTATCGAGATGCATATTTCCCATCGAAAAATAATTTATGGATCGGGACAATTGTTCTCTGACTTTCCGTTGCACTTCTCTTGCAGAGTTGAGGGGGTTCTCCCAAGTGTGCAAAAGAAACAGAATGGTGGTGTTGAACTTAAGGGTGAAACATCAAGTCAACATGACGTGCTAAGCATATCTTGGACAGCGGGCTCGTAGTTGGAAGCTTGTTTATGACCTGTTGGTGGAAATGTTTCCATATCTATTTTCCCTTCTTACCCGCTAGTGCTGTAACCATGGCTCAGGGAGTCATGATGCTGAGATGTGAGCAGGCAATCACCCCCAAGTCTCGGGGTAACTATCATGATCTGAAAAACATCAGTGGATTCTTTGTGCAAATCAGTGATAGCAATTGAATGTAATTGATAGCAGCATGAACTACCAGGCTGCACTACCGCAGTGGTCTGGTGAGATCATGCACCACCCGTATTGGCATTGGGCAGTTCAAAACCAAACCACGGAGTCAGTCTCAGATGTGCACCGCACTGTGGTGGATGCACAGCAGGTGGAAGCAGTGACAGGCCATTGCAAAATGATATTTCACAGCACGCGAATGAGCCCAAGAGTTGGAAAAAAAGTCCTGCCAATGTACAGCTGCAGCCACTGTTGGGTGATTTCTACCCTCTCTCAGTGTGTCCTCTCATCTGGCATGAGATGTTGGAGCGCATCCTCTCCAACGGATTGGTCTGGTCATGCAGCCATGTGATCATTGCCCTGCATGCCAAGGTGGATCCTGGTAACTGCGCAAGCCACATCTCATCAAGCTCGCGCATCCAGCTGCATGAGCATTTAAAAGTCGATTTTGCCACCAAACCCGCATACATAGTATAGCATTTTGGTATAGATTTTGGTCACCTTCCTCAAAATCATCATCGAAGACGAAATTCTGAGATATCCAGGTGCAGTTTCTGCAACTGTGTGAGCTGTTGGCACATGCCATGGTGCTCGGCTAGGAGCCTTTCCCGGCCGACCAGGAACAGGGGACCTCGTAGAAATGGGCTGCCCCTGCTTCCTTCTTGATCTGCCCCGTCATTCCACTCAGCTGGCCAAGCGTCGACTGGGTCTTCTTCGATCCAACCCAACTGGTGCGCCGCAATGTGTTGCGCCAGGGGGGAAAGCTGGCATCTCGATCCGCAGTCCATCTTCAGCATCTTCTGGAAGGTCATTCCGATCTTGTAGAAGTTGATTGAATCCAGTTGTAGCATAGGCGCTATCACTCCATACAACCACCTCACCAGGGAAGTCAAAGCCTGCAACTCAGCCTTGTCGTCATTCTGCCTCAGACCTGCTAATGTCCCACGTGCTACCCACTGATCACATGGACAACCGCCAATGCCCCCCCTAGAGCAAAGTCAACCTGTTCCGGAAACCAGCAGCTGCCATCTGTGAAGAGATCCACTCGAGTCAGCTTTGGATCCAGGGTACGTCGTTCCACTATCGCCGGGTGTTCCAAACTAAGCTTGTAAGCCGCCCACTCCTTGTTCCTCGGTGGTAACAAGTGTGCCCAAAGCGCATATGGCATCCCTGTAGATTGGCGTAGAACATCTTGATGTTGTGCATTATCTTGTGTGCAAATTTCGGACAATGAAAGCAGCGATGTGCATGTGAGTCATCTACTTGACATAGACTACACAGGCGACTCTTTGCCATGTCGAACTTGCTCTGCGACTTGGCATCCAAAAAGGAGCCATCTTGGGTAGCTTGCAGAAACTTTCGCTTCTTGAGATCCAGTCTTCGCTGTACACGTCTAAAAGCCAAGAGATCAAGGGGCTGCAATCTGAAAAGTCTTTGCGGTTGGTCACTTCATGTGCCAAGTACTGTCCCCAAGCATCCTCAGCCAACGACCGAAGTATGCCATCCGTGGTGTCAAGGAAGGAGACCCAAAAGCCATAATGATCATAAAACCCAGGAACTTCAACGCTCCATCCCACCAATGTGAAGACCTTTATCGATGTCCCAAAGGGTCTCTGGTTTGGATTCCTTGTGCTGCGCCATGAAGTCGCCCCACATTTGAACCAGTTGGCCCAGATGCACTGTTGGCGGATCTGTAGCTTCTTCCATTCTGCATCAGGTAAGTGTTTCAGGAGATCCCAAAGTGGCTTGATGCTACTGAGTCTGTCCAAAGCACCCGTGATGCGGTGGCGCTTTCCATAGACCGTAGTTGCCTCCAAATCCACAGCACTTTCCTTTCAAGTCCCAACCCGGTGATTGACTTTCTTTCCTAAGGGGAGCGCTGGTTGCCCACGCAAAGCTTTTGGCCCTATCAAGGGATAGATGCCACATAGAGCTCCAGTCTTCAGTGCAAAGTATCCCATGCTGTAAGTGTACCATGTTGTGCGCCATCAACTCAATGTTGTCCACATAGGCGATTGGAGTGGTCATCTGGGAGCAAGCCCGCATGCACAGGTGGAACACGAGGTCCGCCAAATCCATCGCAAAGCAGGACATAGCGCAGCCCTCCGGGTAACCGCTACTGTATTGCTCAGCAAAAGAGTTCCCAGCATTGCCATTCAGCAAGAAGTATCGGGCAGTCTGGCCCAAAAGTCGTGGCGAAAGATGACAGTTCATCTTGGGATTCCATCTGATTGGCTCACGGGGAATGTTTTCAAAGGCTTTCTGAATATCTGTAACCCAGCCGCATCTTTCCTCAGAATGCTGATTTCCAAGTAGGCCTGCACTGTCCTTCCTGCCTGGGAGGAAGCCAAACTGGTGCTGATCCGCCAGTTCCCCCAGATGCTTCAAGCATTCACGGGCCCTGAGCAAGGACCAGCTACATACACCATGGAATATCCCGTCTGGCCTCTTCGGCAACGGGTGTACAAACCCAAGCAATGAGTGCGCTGGCTGTAAGTCTCTCCGCTCAAGCTATCTGGCCCGCGTGCAGAGGAGGCTCCGTATCGCTTATTGATTTCCACCCACCGTCCAGCTGAAATTGGGTACGTGGCATTGGTCTCCTTGGAGGATATTGCTCTGCAAACGCAAACATCCTGTTCCAGTAATCGGTTGAAGGAAGATTCTGCCTCCACCATCTGTCCGTCCAGAATTCCTCCAACTCCAACTTTCCGATGATGGCATTTGGTGAAGAGTAGTGGGTCTTCACAGAGAAGGTGATTGGGGATTGAAACAGAACCTTTTGCGAAAGATGTACAACTGGGCCATCCACTTGACAAACTTCAACCTGAACTTGCAAGTGTCATGTTCTAAGACCACGAGCTCATCTGCGATATGAATATTCTGTTGGTCCTCAGAAATTGCCAAGATGGATGAGGATCTTTCATCCGCCGAATGCTGAAGTTGAGCTTTTCCCTCTGGTTTCATCATGGCAAATAGCTTGTCCTGATGTTCGTGGAAATATGCACTCAGCAATTCATGGCGATGCCGCTGATGCCGGGGCTCCAGTTTGCGAAAGTTTGCCTGAAAATCTCGAAAGATGGCCATTGCTGTTGATACTTGATACTGATGGAATGGTGAATGGCAATTCATGAGGACTTCCTTGAAGCCGCAATGGCCTGGAGGTCCTAAGAAACCCTCCTCGAAAACCTTTTCCTCCATTGACAGAGGTACTTCCTGCATGAAGTCCATGGTAGGCTTTGTTTTCTGCGCAGCTGTATGAACCATCTTTGTGGGGTACGTCCCAGATGATTGACATAATTCCCCAGGTCGTGAAGGTTTGAGGAAAGGCAGTGATGGCACTATGCTGTCCTTTGCAACCAGTAGGCAGTAGGCCATCCGAAGCATTATTTTTTTTACAGATCATTGAGTATGCTGCTGTAATGTCCATCTCCTCAATATCACCCAAGCGCAGCAAAGATTGAGCTCGCCATTGATCCCACTGCACTTCGGTCCAAGGATTTTGTGCCAGTTGTGGCCACCAAGTGAGCTGACCAAAAACGCAAAATCCCAAGTTTTTATTGAGATTGTGCTCGCCACATCAAACAGGCGACTGCCTTATTTGGGTGCGGCATACCTTTTGACATGTTGGTTTGTCGGTGGGAAGGTGGCGATCCAGGTGCCACGGCAATGTCAAGTGCTCTTCCGGCCACAAAAACAGCTATGTGAGGTGTAACATGGTGTAGCCGCGTAGCCTTTAAAGGTGCTGACAGTGGCAGCCTTGTCCACATGTGATCAGAATAGTTAAGTGGGTGGTGCAGCACTAAAATGTAGTATATGTATGTATATGTGAAGATATATATATATATATATGTGTATATATATATACACATATACGTATACGGCAAAAGCTTGTTATATACGGCAAATGCTTGGGTTTTAGCCGGAGCGGCAAGGACGACGGGCAACCAATCATCGTCATCCTCGTCATCATCCTTGGTAGATATTCCCACTTGTTACATACATACATGCATACATACTTACATGCATACATACATACATACCCACACACACACACGCACATACACGCATAATCATACACACATACTCACATAAGCATACACGCCTACACGCATATACACACGTAGGTGCGTGTGTGTGTGTGTGTGTGTTTGCGTTCCTCCGCATGTGCGTACATGCGTACGTATGTACGCGTACGTACATGCATACATGCGCACATGCATACATGCATACAGGCACACATGCATGCATGCATACATGAATACAGGCATACATGCATGCATGCATACATGCAAATGCATACGTACATACGAACATACGAACATATGTACATACATACATAGATACGTACATAGGTACATATAGGTACATAGGTACATACATACATAGATGTATAGATACATAGATACATAGATACATAGATAGATAGATACATACGTACATACATACATACATACATACATACATACATATTTACGTACATACATACAAAACACAACCTAATATTCCTGAAAATAGCATAACATAACATCTACTTGGTGTATATATATATATATTATTTGAGTTGGTAACAAAAATAATGATCGTGATGATGGTGGTGATGATGATGATTTTTGGTTATGTATTTTCCAATGAGTTTATATATGAGAGTGGGACGCTGCGGAGGGCTGATTTTTTACTGTTTTTTAAAATATGTGTTTCAATTTTTTCTTTCACAATAATGTAACATCACTTATTGAAGATTGTCCTTGAACCATCCTTTACACATGCATGATATAGTTAAGGCGACAATAAGGTACATCCCTCAACATTATATTATATTCTCTTCAGTCTTTGATAAGTATGAACACACCTGTTGCAAACGCCATGTTTTAATGTAGAATAAATATTTTAACAATACCTTGAGGCAAAACATATCTCTCTAACTCTCTTCCAAAGCATGCCTTCCTTGAAATATCAGCGGAAAAAAAATCAACTTTGTTGCGAAAAGAACTGTGTATTCTAAGTGGTTGAGCTGGATACAGCTCACAAGGAAAACTGAATTACACCATTCCCAATATCATGTTGGTAATTGCACCAGCAAAGGAAAAGCTTAAACTTATGTTGCCAAAAATTGGGAAAATACGCAGGCCAGTCCCAAACTCTTCAATGGAAATAACTCTGCTTGGAATTAGAAGGACACCTAAACCTGGAAAGTGAGGGTAGGTTAGGGTCAAACCTTACAATCAAAAACATCCCTATCACAAGGCGCCATGGCAATGCATGCAGCATCCCATTCTTCTCCAATAGTGAGACTCGAAATCCTTTCATTTACTGTTTATGTCATGATAAAGGATGCTTGTACCCAACCCAACCATATGATTATATAATATAATGTGTATATGATATAATATAATATATAATATATAATATATAATATATAATATATAATATATAATATATAATATATAACATATAATTTATAATACATAATTTATAATATTTAATATAATATAACATAATATAATATAATATAATAAAATATAATACAACATAATATAATATAACATAATATAATATAATATAATAAAATATAATACAACATAATATGATATAACATAATAAAATATAATATAATATAATATAATATAATACAAACTAATATAATATAATATAATAGACTAAAATATTGTATAGTATAATAAAATATTTATATAATATGATTTGATATAATATGATATAATAAAATACAATATTACATAATAACATATAATGTAATATAATATAATGTAATGTAATGTAGTGTAATAAAAAATATTATTATAGAAAATAATTTATTTTTTAATAGAATATAAAATATTATATGTAATATAATATATAATATTATAGTTCATTTCATATATTAAATACAATATACCTTAATTTAATATAGAATATAATATTTAATAGAGTATATAATACAATATACAATATAATATAAAATATAAGACAATATATAATATAATCTTACAATGCTAGTCTAAATTTATGTGACATACATTAGTTCAACCTGATCCATAGGACAAACATTCCAAGAACTTGCCCCCCAAAAACGAACCGATTTCTCCTGATATATAACAAGGCTGTCGCCACTTCCTTGTGTAGATTTCCCTAGCAAGCTAGGAATGCGAATCAGAATTGGAGCTTGGAATATCCAATACAAGCAGTGCAATCTGGCAGCCTGCACAGTCATTGCGCACAACCACTATGTTCAAATCAAGCATGTGTATGGTAGAGAATACCCATGCATAATGTTGAGGTACGCAGTTGTCCTTCTTAGTTGGTAGGTTGGCAAATGTCTGCTAGATGATATGGAAAGAATTTTGACAGATACTGCCCATAGCAACACATGAAGAAATGCGCTGATCAAACATATGTTTCACATTGAACCGAGGTAATCCTTGGCTAATGCAATTAAACTATTAATATTGCCAAGGATGTATGTATACAGTTATGGTAACGAAAAAAACCTACAAGACTAAGTCAGATGAGGCTAGGGCAGACAAATCAAAGTGTATGCTAATATTTGATGTCTTTGAAAAAATGCAGGAATTTGACGCATTTTTGAGCAAACATTGGCTTGGCTAAACTAGTATGGTAAAGGTGGTTAGAATTACCTTTGGAAGTTATAGTTCTGATTGGTGGCTGCCAACTATCAAAGGAAATAATCAGTGCAACTTGCCATACATTGCCAAAAATTGATACATAGAAAAGGCAATTTAATATCATTATTTCTCTGTATCTTTAATGAGATTAATGACCAATGTTCAGAGTTTGACTAAATTGCCTGCACTTTGAATGAGGGTATATAGGTCGCACCAATACATTAATATTAAAGATATATGATATACATTGCAGATATTTTTCAAGATTACTTACACAAAACACGTATTCTTGTCTTGACATGCTGAGTATAACCATTTTGACATACAAAGATGAGGTTATCCCCGCATCACAATTGCTCATATATTTTCTTGCTGTGTATCATGCAATGGCCTATCCATTGGCGCAATATACCCTCTGGTAAACAAAAATAGCTATTGAAAATGGTCATTTATACTGGATTTACCGATTGAAAATTGTGATTTCCCATAGTTATGTTAGTTTACCAGAGGGTATATTATGGAACATTCTTGGCAACACATATTGCATCAGAGCCTTTTTGTACATAACCCCTGGCTTCATCAGTTCAATGCAAAAGGCTGAGGCTAAGAATGGTTGGGTCAGAATGTGTGCCTTTCAGGCCTGGAGAAGGTTTCCTCAGACCTCTAGAAGCTTAGTGGCATCCATGGTGCCAATCCGGATTGAAAGCTGGTTTCCTGGGGTCTGAGGGGGGGGGAGCAAAAATAAATAGATAAATAGATAAATAAGTAAATTAATAAGTAAATAAGTAAAAAATATATATATATATATATAAATATATAAATTTTGGGTCCCCCCCCTTGGAGAGGTCTAGAAGGTAAAGAACAGAGCTTTAGGGTTTCCAGAAGTCTCGGGGAGGAAGAGAGAACAGACAAAAAACTATCTATACAAAAAGCTTAGCAGCAATATATTTCAATATGTTAATCCAAAATTTGACCCATATCTGTCCATTCCCCTTTCTGCATTAGGCTGATATGGCTGAAAATTGAAATTTATTAGAGAGTATACCTATAATTGATTTTGATATTCTAAGTTTGTATATTAGCAAATATTTGCACAAGGAAATACAACATGAAACATTTAGTGGCCAAAGTTGCTTTTTAGTGACTTTTTCAAAGCACTGTAGAAATGGGGCCTCCACAACGTCCCTTTTTGGAGAGTGTTATATATATATATGTATGGCATTTATGGACACTTGTTGGGCTATTCTTTAGTTTTGCATGTGATCCCACACACGAATATGTATACATACATGCATGCATGCATGCACACATACAAACAAACAAACAAACATACATACATGCATGCATGCATGCATGCATGCATACATACGTACGTACGTACATACATGCATACATACATAGATACATACATACATTCATTACATACATTACATACATTACATACATTACATACATTGCATACGTTCCATACGTTACATACATTACATACATCACACACATTACATACCATACATACATTACATACATTACATCCATTACATACATTACATGCATTGCATACATCACATACATTACATACATTACATACACTACATACATTACATACATTACATACATTACATACATTACATACATTACATACATTACATACATTACATACATTACATACATTACATGAATTGCATTACATTACGTTACATACATTACATACATTTCATACATTACATGCATGCATGCATGCATGCATACATACATACAGATATATTTATATCTGAATACAGACATATATATATATACACATATGTATACATATATATATAAATATATATATATACACAAAAATAAATAAATGAATAAATACATAAATAAATGAATAAATAAACAACTAACTAACTAACTAACTAAATAAATAAATATATATATATATATGGTCCAGCGTTCCAACCCCCCTCCCCCCCGGCCATGGTCATGGGTCAGCCATAGTATTGTCCCCCTCCCCCCCCCCTGTGGTGTGGTGGGGGAGTGGTCCCCCTCCCTCTCCT